AAAATATTTGTTTCTTAGGTTTTCACGCACATCACTCATTAAATAAAACTAGTTTTTACGGGTTAATGCATGAAACTTTATTTATTTATTGACGTTTCGTAGCCTTTACAGGCTACGTCGTCAGAATCAAACTTTTATTTAATTTGTCGAGCTACCTTCGAAAGACTTTTATTGATAAAGGTCTAACAATTTTGGAACCGGTGGTAGTTTACGGTAGCTAGGGTCAAATAAATAAACTCAATATATATACAAAAAAGAATTTTAAATAAAATACTTTATTAAGTAAATTAAATAATAAATTCATACATAGACAATAAAACTTTAAAAATCGAACAATGAAATAACCGAACGCTCAATAAAAGTCTTTCGAAGGTAGCTCGACAAATTAAATAAAAGTTTGATTCTGACGACGTAGCGTGTAAAGGCTACGAAACGTCAATAAATAAATAAAGTTTCGTGCATTAACCCGTAAAAACTAGTTTTATTTGATATTTAAAAAGTCTACGGAGGCACACAGCCAAAGTCGAGGCGCGGGCGATTGTTTTTTCTTTTATTTCTTTGTAAACGCCCGAAAAAGGATTAACAAAATGGCGGCGGTGTCGAGGTGATAGCGCATCTAGCTCTACCGCGCGCGACTCGAAGCCGCCTCGTCTCCGCCATTTTGTTGTGCCATACCCCTAATTAGACCGTAATTAGTCTCTTAAGGGGACTAAGTTATGATTTTCTATTCCTTACTGTGATTTATATTCAAATAATTTGTTATTTATCACAAACATTAAAAAAAATGTAATGGTGGCTAATGGACATTATATTGAAAATATCATTGCAAAGAGTGCAAACCAATGTCAATTCGTTACGGAAATGTCGACATTATTTTATATTATCTAGTAACACGGTATCTGTCATGTAGTGGAGGATTAAAGGAAATATATATCCTACCTTAGTTATTAAGGTTAGCACGTTTTATAATAATTACAATAAATTTGCGCTTGAGGGGTTTTACGTAGTTATATTAAAATTAATAATTCACAAATAATAATATAATTTATTTACTCCTCTGCCAGACAAAACAATATTATTTGTGTTTTTAGATGAAAAATAAAATGTAGTTGGGACGTTCTTTTTTTTTAAGGCCAATGACTTGTCTCCTCCGCAAAAAAACAAATGTTATTGCTCCAAAATACAAAAATGTTGTTTTTCTTTTACAAAAATACACTTGACAATGCAACAATTATACTATCCTCAAAACTAGATTTTGATTATTAATATTTTTTACAAAAATTTTGTGACATAGTATACGAAAAACGTTACGGAGGTGTTTCACATACAAATAAAGTGTGTCCCTCTGTGACTACTAATGTAAACAAACTGTTCTCGTACAAAAAAATCACATTGAAAGTTTCTATCCAAAAACATTTACTGAACTACTTAACCTTTGTTATTTAATTAATAAGAAGAAATAATATTTAATGTTTCTATTATTAAATAAAAAAATATTTGATTTTCTGTCTCCCGACGTATATCATTTTTATTGCTGTCTTCTGTCACTCGTTTTATGGTACAAAATAATGTGCGTTAGCAATTTTGACCTTGGTCACTAGACAAGAGCATAGTCCCCCTCCACTCCGCTCCCACGCTATGCGTCCCTACCCCCCGGTGATACCAGTCAGTCGCTCGCAAACAGTAAAAGGAGGTGCGTGTGTTTATTTAGCGACCACTCTGTCACGTAAGTTACTACTTCTAAATATTATTTTAATTCCTGTGTGTTAATATTTTTTTATTGATTCCTGATATCTATTTCCTATATGTAAACTTTTATGAATTAATTATAATTAGACCAATGCTGAGAATCTCGAACACTACTATTTTACACCTCTGTCACGAGGCACCTCTGTCACAAAAATGTGACGGAGTGGTAAGCTTGTGACGGAGTAGTCGTTTTTGTATGGAGCTTAGAGCCTTAGTTCATTTTCATAATAGATGATTTTTAGTTTTCTTATGTTGTTTATTATATGGTCGATTATTTTGTTAATTTAAGGTGTTACCATCAGATAAATTCAAAAATGCCATTATCGGCGGCTGAAAGACAGCGACGGTGTCGTGAAAAAAGGAAACTTAACCCTGAAATCGTTGCAGAAGTGAAACGTAAAGATTAAGAATGATATCATGCTCGTAAAAAATTAGTTAAAGATATGACACCAAAACAACACAAAAAAATAAAGAGACAATGGCAGATTAGAAATAGGAAGAGAAGAGAACGACAGAAAGCTTTGCAGAACGTTTTGATGAACACTCCGGCTTCTACACCACCTCTTTCAAGTCCCAGACCATTAAGTCCGAGATCTCGTTCACTTACTCCAGCCTGGTCTACTGCCAGTGCAAGAGGAAGAAAACAAGTTAGACGGGATAGATCACAACTTTATAGAAAAAATATTCAACTTCAAGACCAAATACAAGGATTACTAAGAAAAGTACAGAAATACAAGAAAAGACTTCAGCGACAGAAAAAAAATGAAGATAAAGTACACAATACAACCCATAGTAGAAAGGAAAATGAACACGACGAAAAAGAAAACAGAAAATATACTATTTATTGTTTTCTAAAGTTTAAAACTGTTTTAAGGTTAACATTGCTCGGCGGGTAATGATTATTTACCACTCTGTCACAATTTTGTCCCCCTTATAATTTAAGTTCAAAGTAGTGTATGCTCCAGTTTATTGGTAATATTTACAAAAATAGCGTTTTCTAGTATTACATGCTAAACAATAAAGTTGTTCACCAGATTTTCAAGTTACTTTATTGAAAGACTTTCATAATATTAAAAAGTATTTTGTCTTAAAAAGCAAAACTGTGACAGAGTGGTATTGGATATCATTTTTTTAATGTTTTTATTAAGAATTCCGTCCCCTGGAGCTAGCTTAAAAGAAATGTTTGTATTCATGATAAGAAAGAAATAAGAAACTAAAGATCTGATTTTGCATGAAAAATAAAAAAAAATAAACATTTTCGTGACTGAGGTGTTGATTTTTTGTTACCATTCCTACAAAATTAGAAGTTAAACAAAAATTACAAGTAATACTTCGATGCATTATATATGTTTGAAATCTACAACAACGAGGCAATAATTTAAAATACATTTTACTTAAGAAATCACATGTTTACTTTTTTAACAAATATAAAAATTTGCCTGTCAGATTGGCCATAAAAAAGAAGAACGTCCCAGTTATGTAATGCATCACATACCTCTCTAACGTGTCTGATGTCTGCCAAATAATCCAATATAAATGCGTGCCGTTGTATGTAGTCTGGAGTTAAAACGTATGATCTTCACAGTCGATTGTTGGATCGACCAAGACTGAGCCGGCAAGAAATGCACTGTGGTCTTCTCTCCATTTTCCTTTCTTACATAAACTTCAATCAGGTACCACAAGCAAGCCAATCGACCGGCAATCGATATCAGTCCGTAAAAAAACACTAACCAATTGATCACAGTAAGGCAATCCATGTCAGTCTATAAATCATAATCCAGTTCGTCAGTTAGGCAATCAATATCGTAAGTCCATAGAACGAAGCCAAATCCGGTATAAATAATCGAAAGAACGCATGCGCACACTACACAACGGAAGAGCGGTGAGTGATGAGTGGCGGTGTATAGTAAGTTTTGTTTGTTACGTAAATCTATACCAAAATAACAAGGTTTGACCAACATCTGCGCAAAAAAAGAAAGAAAAAAAATTTTCCCCTAACCTTTATAACTCAGCTCGGACTGAGTTTAGCGATATATATGGCATAATAAGTTTTGTTTGTTACATTGTCCTTTACCTAAATAACAAGTTTGGTCAATGACCGCGCGAAAAAAAAGACGCCAATTTCCGGCATTGTCTTTTCTCAGTGTTTTGTCTCTGATGTTCATAAAATCATAAGTGGCAATTGAGTGATTTGAAGAAAACATTGCGTGGTTTTACCCATTTTTATATAAACGAAACGGTTAGGCTCAGCTCAGGTTCCATAAAGTTTTTTATAAGATTGATTTAAAAATGTACCTATACGTACGTGCATACACATGCATTACTTTTCTTTCTCAATACTTAATACTTCGTCCACCTCTGGAAATACAAAACTGAAATTCTGAAAAACAGAAATTACTGGCGTTTATTATAATAGCTATTGTACTAAGGTCACAATCACCAAGGTACTGGGTCACTGTGCATTCATTCTCATTTCAAATTTAGGGCTGTTTCTCAAATCACTTTATGCTTGTCAAATATTTGAATTCAAAAGTCTTAGTACTCCCACACATAACTGCTAATTCGCATCGTATCGCAAATATCTGCGAGCTCGCACGAATGCACTGCAAGAACTTCCGGTCTGATTCGCATTGCGCATTCCTGCGATATTACGTCACACTTGGTGACGCCATTTTAGTCCGTTCGGAGGCAGCGTAAGGCCGCCCTGCTACGATCGTTTTGTAGGCATGGTGTTAATAAACTCATAAGCTCTTCAAACGCAGATATAAGATAAGGTCATTCTAAAATAATAAAAAATGTCTGTATCTTCTTCTGTTCTCAAAACATTGTTTTTCGAGTAAAATTGTTCCCATCAGCGTTCATAATCATAATAATTAATTATGATTATCAACGCTGATGGGAACTTGAGATTTATGATTTTAAGTAATTACTGAACCCAAAATTTTATCTATCTTCTGTATCTTTTTAACAAAAAAAGCAATGCAAATATTTTTGATCCATATCACTATTACTACAAGACGATTGACTACCGTTGAAGGTATGGTCACCTAAACCAAAGCTTTGACAAACAAAATCTTATCGCAGCAATTCGCATCGCAAGTTCCTGATGTCGCAGTTTTGTGTGGGAGCCCTAAACATGATTTTGATTTCATTTAAGAAATTTGGTGCAAGTAAGCTTATTTTAACACATTGTTTTAAAAAAAACTAGTACTTCATGATACTTTAAACTCAATAAAGTTATTCCATCACAGAACCGTTACTTCCTCGTCGAGCTGCAATCCTGTATGCAAAGCATGGAGTCGTCAGTATACGAGAAGGTGTCGGAGTTCCTGACACTCATGGGTCGTACGGAGCTGCTCACTTGTTCCGCCACCCAGCACTCATTCGGGAAGATCCGCGACCAAGCACTGCAGCTCACCAGGGAGTACAACCTGCAATGCTTGTACTTGTACTACCCTGTGCTCAAACAACACATCCAAGTATGAAGCACTTAAGACATTCTTTTTCCTTCAATTAAATTCAGCATTCAATAAATTTATTGAGAAAAGAATAGATAGATGTGTCGTACAGAACTGCGGAATTTGAATGCCTATGCATAATGCATATTTGAAGAAGATTCCAGATAAAGAGTGTTATTAGAGATAGGGAATTTAGAAAATCATTTAAGTTAATATATATTATATGCGATAAAGAAAAAAATAATAATTTGCTTATATTTGTATTAAAAAAAAACTCCGTAGTACTAGGCAAAAGTTCTACGTATAGCCCTCTGTGTGTCATCTGAAGTTTTCAATATCAAGTTTGCAGTTGTCAGTTGAAGTTGAAGTTGATACTAAGGCCCGTACAAAGACTTTATATAATACCTATACTGTGCACGAAAAAAATTGGTTAATCTAAAGTAAGATTTATATCTGTAGTAATAGGCTAGCTATTATCTTGATAATCGGTCGCTAGTAAAAACGGTCCTAAGTGAGAAAGCACCCAACGGGAGTGTGTCCCTTTCTAACGTCTTGCCAGCAATTTATCATTGGGTTTGGTAGAAATGGTAGAAAATGTCATCCTTTTCTATTTGTGATTTACTGATTAATTACCGATACCAACGATTCGTAAACTATGAAACGTATTTAAACATTTCTACAGTTCCTATAAATAATAAAATAATCATTGATATTTATAAAATAAGTCTTAATACAGAGTAAAAGTAGTATTTAAATGGTTGAGCCTGGTAATACTGAATGTAAGATGGTGATTTGTTCACTTGATCGTTAAATTGATTTAACCGCTTTGATTTAAAATATTGTAAATTTGATTATTAAAGTGTATTTTTTTAAAATAAGTAAAACTTACAATCATATTCATTAGGTGAACCATGAATTTTAGAGGTAGATGAGTTTTTTTTTCCTTTACATGAGTTGTGTGAATTTAATGAATCAATTATTAAATAACGCGGTCGCGGTTACTTCCTTGTTTCGTAGGTACTTTTTAGAGCCTTTTTAGATTCGTCAAGTCTGTCTGTCTGTCTATCCGTGTGTCACTGCCATTTTCTTCCGAAGCTAAGAGCTCCACTGTCGAAAATAATAATAATAAACTTATGTATTCTGTGAACCGCATTAAGACTTTCATGCAAAATTAGTAAAAAACAATAATAATATTTAATATTATATTTTTTCTTGTATTGTGTAGATTTAATAAACACAAAATAAACACAATCCTCTTTGCAAGCTATATTAAATAACAAATACTAATAACAAATTTTGTCCCCCGCGTTATGCTTGAATATGGTCACCTCATTAGAAAGGAACACACTACCATTGGAAGCCCTCTCGCCCGGACCGTTTTTCAAGCGATGGTGCACAGTCTAGGTATTATTAAAGTCTTTGGGTCCGTATTACAGAATGACAACTAAGTGTTGATTTTTACTTCAGTACAGTTAGAAAGGGATGTCGCTATGTGCTATTATACACCGTGTTCCTGAGGATATACATAAACTTTGAATAATACTTCTATAGCTCTTGTTGAACATATCGTACAAAGAAAGTAGTAGTTTAAATAGCATAGTTTTTAAGTTATTGGTAATTTAAGTTTAACCAACTTAATTGTGTTGATCAGTGAGAATGAGTCTTTATCTGTGAGATGTTGCCACTTTGCGCAACCAAAAATATCAAACTATCAACTCTTTGTCAATGGTCATTAAGTCATAGTTTCAAAAGTCAAAACTTTAAAAAACATTGTTGACGTCAAGAAAAGTTTCAATAAGTTTATGTGGACATGTGAACCAAGGTTTCAAATGCGACGTTGCCAGCTCAGGTAAAGAGTAATTCATATGAGATAAATTACATCTAAGCATTTAGTTTGTATGAAAATAAAAAAAGATAAAAAAATTGGAATTCATAAAAGTGACCATAGTAAAAAATTATCAATTTAATAGTCTGAATAACATGCCAAAGTTAGTGTATAACCTCAGAACACGGTGTTTATAGCGACATCCCTTTCTAACTATGCTCAAGACTAGATTCATTACTGAGAATCTTTCTATGATACGGGCCTAAATCTTAGATTAAAACAAAAAGGGAAGATACGGTATGCTTATACTAGCATCAAATAAAATATGTTCCGGCTCAACTACATAAGCAACTGTCACGCACGCACACTATTGTAAATAAACATTCAATCGAGCGAGCGAGATAGAACTGTACGCTTCAACGCAGTGCGAGCGAAACGGCGAGTCCACGTCGCTTGGCTTGGCACCTGTGTTTCCTTTTCTCCCTCTCTACAAATGGCTGAGCTGTATTGTTGTTCTTTTCTTGATAACAAATGGCGAAAAAGTAAATAACATTCATGACGAACCGTGATTTTTGAGAAAAAAATGTTTTCATAGTTTTACGAATGAAAAGTGTTGCTATGACATTTGTTATTTGATCTTGAACTATTTGTGTTCTTATAAGCTTCGAAGGCATTGTTTTATCTTTATAACACAGAATATACGCAATATTGTTATATTGAGTGCACAGGCAGCGTGTTTGAATGTCTTATTATCTTATATCTTCCCTTTTTGTTTTAATCTATCTCTCTCTGTCTGCTTTAGAAACTCATATTTTCAAACACTTTATTGCACTTTAAACTGATTTTATATGAAATTTAAAATTATTAGACGGAGATGTAGTTACTCGGTTTTGTTAATGACAATATGCCTTAGCCAATAGCATAAACAGATCGAACACTTAGATCTGTAGCCTTAGCACGAATGATATCGAATTCGAATAGTTGAATTTAATCTATAATATATTTGGTATATTACCCAATAAATCGTAAAAAATATGCATACTTCAAAATTGTTAACAGTACGAATTCGAGCCTTGCGACAACGATCCGATCGACGCGGTGACCATTGAACACGAATCGGTGGCGGTAACACTCGCGCAGGAAGCGAGGCGCTGGGCGACGCGGGTGGTGCGGGAGACCGCTCTCGTACGCGACGCTACGCGCAAGCTCCATCTGTACCAGGCCATGCGAGACGCTGGACAGAAGGTTAGTACTGTATGCGGTGGTGACTCGGGTGGTGCGGGAAAGAGTTGAGAAGTGTAGCTTTAGAACGGACGCACGCACGCGTGCTGTTTCATTTTATTTCATAGAGATACGCTGCGTGGGGCGGGTACCTTAACAAAATTAATCCATTATTGACTGTTCACCCGCGCGATCGATATTGTACTGGTGGCGTTGTACTTTGCAGTGGACGTCCGCTTCGTGTTCCCGCTTAACGCAGCGCAGGCTCTTAATATAGTTAATAGCTGCAATGTCTAGCTCATAAGTCATGGTCGAGAGTGGGTGGCGGTAGTGAAGAAGTCTGTAAGAAAATCATAGAAGAATAATAACAATTAACCAATCGGGATATGTTTCTTTTCCGGATCAGATCCACCTGTCATTCGTTTTCAAAAATGTAGGATCAAGAAACTTTTTTTAGAGTAATTTTCACGGACTCTCTCTCCAAAAAGAAAAAATAATTTCAGTTTACCGTTTTGAAATTTGTTTCTTAGGTTGACCCGAACGATCCTAACGGGCCAGAGCTGGAAGTAAGAATGGACGAGCTTCGCGCTAACATCCGCCGCTCCGAGACCTCCAAAGCCAAGTACGAGGCGCGCTTGGAGTGCCTTAGGTCAAGTGGCGCGCCAGTCGACGAGTGGTTGAAGGAAGTCGACTTGCTGGCCGTACAAGAAACCCTACCACGCAGCAGCAGTCTACTCAGTGTGCGCACCGATGCTTCTGGAACTGCTGTGAGTGTTAACTGTGACTAGTACCTAGTACCTCTTACGATTATCAGTAAGAATATGGTTAAAGTGGAAATTTCACAAATGAAACAGAATGATGCAGTAATAGGGACTTGATGACCTGAAGTCGCTTAGAGCTAGATCTGGCCTTCTTATCGGAGTATTTGTGAACCTTATCGTTTCTTTCCATAAGTGCTTTACCTACCTAGTTGCCAACTGTTGGTGTCGTGTGGGTAATATTTATAAATACTAAACGTGTTTATTTTCGTAGGACCAACCGAGTTCTGACTCGTTCTACGACAGTGACAATACTGAGGGCGAAGCTGGACCCTCAGCGGCCCCTACCGGCGGTCACCAACGCACCACGTCCGGCTCTCAGCATGAAGACGACCATGACGAAGATGTCGACGGTAGGTTACATACTAATAAGAAGTAGTACTGTAACGGTGTGGCATAGCTGCAACCGTTCTCTTTATTTCCTCCATATTCGACCAGAAAAAGACAATTTTTTTTTGTAATAATCAGTCATACGGACTTTACGTTTCTATACTCATGTGGTCATATACACTGTGTAAGGATTGAAATAGTATTTTTGTTATCAGCGGGATTATTATCATGTACCTCTTTCCAGTCCTTGATACTTCGGCACTGTTGCAAGCGCTATCACGAAGATAATGTTAGTGACCATGAAAGTTTAAAAAAGCATAAATTTAATTGTTAATTGCGAAAAATTTACTAAAGTACTAAAAAAATATTGGAAATAGGGTTCGAGCAGGTAAGGTGAAGATGGCTGACAGAGAGTTCAGCAGACTGTCAGCGAAAAAAAGCCTAAGTATTCTTTCAAAACCAACGTTTGCAAGACAAGATTAACAAATTTATAAAGCGAATATTCTGATTTAGACTTACCTTTTGTTCAGAAGACTGTCTTTTGCAGCGGTATTCTTACTTAGCTCTTGTTCAGAAGATTGTCTCTTGCAGCGGTGTTGGAGGAAGAACGCAAACGAATCGAACAGCTAGCGGTCGGTTGGGACGACCCCACGCAGGTGAACTGGGACGAGCCCGAATCGGAGGCCGCGGCGGCTCCCAGCGAGGTAGAGCAGCCGGCGCCTCCTCTATACAAGTGCACTGCTCTCTACTCCTATACAGTGAGTAATCCTAAGCCTAAGCTTCATATAGTAAAAAAATATACTTGTTACCCATTCGTTGACAGACCATTGCGAAAGTTGCTACTTCCACGATCGCCGACCTAAAGCGATAACCACTTAGGCATCGAGTTTTTCTAAAAAAATATCACCGCCACGCCGCCTGGTGGTTTGTAACCTGTTCGTTCAATATGTTTCTGTCCCCATATACCAGCTTATACTTATTCATTGCTTGATAACCTACCTTAGCTAGCTCTAGCTCTGTGAGTGATATGATATGCGCTGAAATTTAAATAAAAAGGCCTAAAAGGCAGCAATTATTGCTTGCACTTTGATCTCAATAACGAATTTCTCTTATTATGGAGAATCAGTTTCCAAGTGATTATGGTCATAATGAGGTACTACCAGACATTATTTCTTTGTTGATAACGGGTCGCGCTCTGTGTTGACTCATCATTAATTTAATGGCCACACAATACAATCAGCACACCGTCATACAACCAACGGCAGGCAATCATATCATTATCTTATAAATAAATAACGTAGGCAATGTTTGGTGGCCGTATCAATTACCCACTTTAAAATGAGGTCTTTTATGTTTTAATTCGATGTTAAAATTCAAGGGCGGATCCAGGGGAGGGGTCATGGGGGTCATGAATCCATCTGTATCCATCTGTACCCACTTCACAATCTGTACTTCCAATCTGTACCCACTGTGACTTGATCACGACTATATGACCCCCCCCCCCCCCTGGCGCCAAAGCTGGATCCGCCCTTGTGTTAAATAACGGAGAAATGATTTCCTTTGTAATATAGTGTACATTTTTGTTTTAAGTTGTTAATTAAAATTAACTATTTAAACACGTAATAACATAAATTCTGCAATAGTAATGTTAAAAAGATAGAACATAAGTATGAGTTTCTTATTAAATTAAGTAGAGGGAGGCTTACCATTTAAGATATAGAAAATTTTAAAGACGAATGTTTATAAAAGCGTACCAGCATAACTTAGTTAAAGGATTGGTTTGACTTAAACACCTAAACTATAATACCGTAAACCAGAAGACCGTAAAGCACAGTATTAAAATATATTGCGAAATAATAATATTAATTAATCGTTAAACAGGCACAAAATCCAGACGAACTGTCGATAATCGAGAACGAACAGCTTGAGGTGGTAGGCGAAGGCGACGGGGACGGGTGGCTGCGCGCGCGCAATTACCGCGGCGAGGAGGGATACGTACCGCACAACTATTTGGACGTAGACCGGGAACAGGTTGGTAGATATCTTAATTCGTTATCTTATCGATGCCACAAACTCCAGACGAGTACTCTCCGTAATCGAGAACGAGGAGCTGGAACTAGTAGACAAAGGCGATGGGAACGGGTGGCTGAGCACCCTTCACTACCGTGGCGAGGAGTAATACGTACCTTACAATTATTTAGAAGTAGATCGGAAACAGGTTGGCAGATCTCTTCTTTCGCTAACGTTAAATCGTTGAACTTGATATTTTTAAACTACTGCGGCGAGGAGGAATATACGTACCGCACAACTATCTGGATGGTAGACCGGGGACAGGTATCTAGTAGATATCTTTATTAGTTAGCGGTCACTCGTTAAACTTCATATTCTCAAACTACTGTGGCAAGGAGGACCGCAGAACTATCAAGACGTAGATTGGGAACAGGTTGGTAAATCTCTTCATTCGTTATCTTATCGATTCTACGTCGAACTCGATATTTTCAAACTACCGCAGCGAGGCATACCTAACGCACAACTATCTGGATGGTAGACCGGCAACAGGTTGGTAGTAAATACCTTAAGTCGTTGATAATAACTCTTTGAACTTGATATTTTAAAACTACCGAGGCGAGCAGATATACGTACCTCACAACTATCTGGACGTAGACCGGGAACGGGTTGGTTTGTTAACGATTCTCTTCTGCTCGACATTCGTTAACGTCGTTGAACTTGATATTTTCGTTAAGGTCGTTGAACTTGATATTTTCGAACTACAGCGGCGAGGAGGGATACGTGCCACACAATAATCTGGGTGTAAACTGGATATAGGTTGGTAGATCTCTTTGTTCGTTTACAATAACTCTCTTAAATTGATATGTTTCTTACCTATATATCATTGTTATGCTTAATAATCACTTATGTATCCCTAATATTCTGTCGCTGTCGAGATTTAGTAGTTCTGTCTTTCAAAAACTATGGGGTCCTGTCCATTACGCAGGTCTTTCACACCTCAAAAATAGAATCCACCAATACTTATCCCCATTCCCTACCTTATTATTTCCCTTATATTTTTAAGGTACTATGTTATTTTCATTCACAGGCTTCTAGCGCACCTGGGCTGGTGACTCAGATCTCGTTCTCCTCCGTGGACTACACCGTAGAAGGGGAAGACGCGGACGTAGTCCAATCCCCAGATCAGATCTCAGTGATATCAGCGCCTACTGTCAAACCGGAAGAGCCGAAAGCTGCGGAGCCCAAGCCGGAGCCAAAGAACGAGCAGTTGCCCACTCTGGGCTACTGCTTTGCTTTGTACGATTACGACGCTGAAGCGGATGACGAGCTCAATCTTGAAGAGGGGCAGGTAAGCCAAACGACAAATAAAGTCATTAGTAAGAATACATTCTAAATGAAAACGTCATTTGTTTTTTGGAAATTTGGATAACGCTTGGAAAATATATGGTGAAGGCAAATATTAAGATATTACAAATTGCTTTAATCTAAGGAATACGTTTACCTAGCACAATTTAGTTTACTGAGCAACAAGTTGTTATTTCCAATATTTAACAAAAATATAAGAATAGCACCAAACTATACATATCAAAAGTGACGTATACTTTTTTATTTCTTTAATATAATTTTTGTTCAGCCTAAAACACTTCACAATGTACCTAAAGAAAGCATTGCCTAATAATCTTGGATAATTTTTGTCACGTAGATAATCCGCATCACATCGCGCGACGCTCATGGCGTGGATGACGGCTGGTGGCGCGGGGAGGCCAACGGCGTCATCGGGAACTTCCCCTCGCTCATCGTGGAGGAGTGCGATGAGGTGCGCTGCACTTACTTCAATAATTCCCTAATTGTTTGCCCTTCTGCAAACCATTTGCGCGAGCGCGGACGCAGGCTAGTGGCCCGGGAAGGCCAACAGTGTCATCGGTAATTTTTCCTCACTTATTGTGGAGGTATGCGATTAGGTGCACCAACTTCGATCATTCCCGAATAGTTTACCCTTCTGCAATCCATTAGCATGGACGACGGCTAATGGCTCGGGAGGCCAACGGCATCCCCAACAGAACAGAATATGGCCTGAGAGATAGATGGGGTCTATCAATTTCAGGCTTTAGGCTTTTTATTGGAACAGCATCCCTTTAATACGGAGAAAACCAATTAACCTATTGGATTGAGAAATCCGCATTGCGTTGGGGATGTCGCATGTTGGTTTCTTATGGAATCATCGCTCGCGATCTTTCCACTCTTGGCATCTTTTATTTATTTACTTATTATAACTAAGTATAGTAAAAATGTGTATAGCCGGTTTGAAATATCGTAATCCAGTGTAAACTGCCACAGTGGTTATTCTTTCTCACAAGCGCTTTTATTAACGCGCCAAATTTTATTTGGGCGGCGTTGTATTTTAAACTCGGTGTCTTTTAGTATACAAATCACGAATTGCGATCGTTGTAATAGCGCTAACGTCGGGATTTTATCGCTAGTAGAAAATAAGGGCTAATATGGGTTAGGCCGTAAATTTTGGCACTAGTAACGCAGTAGTGATGTAAAATATTGCGCGACGGTGACGTAACAAAATAGTCGTGCAAAATTATAAAGGTTGGAGATGGAGAATACCAAGCCTGACAATAATTACATTCTTACTAAAGCATTTTTTAAGTAGTTACTTAAAGGTAGGTATAGATTGTGGTATAAGGTGAAAAATTAAACTGATTTAAAATTATAACTAGGTATGTAATAAAATCATAAAAACACAAATTAACTATTATAATATAATATTTGGTTGTTTGTTTAAATAATAATAATAATTTAAGTAAAATTGCAATGCCCTTGCAGGGTGCCACATGTTTGTACAGGTTATGATAATGTTGTTTTTTGTACTAAATGTGGCATGCAATAAAGAATAAATAAATAAATAAAACTATGAAATAATGCCACATTACTTAACGAAAAGCTAATGTGTTATGAAAGGATTTAATGAATCACAAATGAAAAAAAAGCAAAACGCATAAAAACTGCAATGCTTCTGAAACTATTGTACCACGACCTTGTTTTGGGAGCGCAGTAGTAGTGACGCAATAATTTCGCAACTGGTCTCACAAAAGTAACGCAAAAGTAGCGCAAATGTTAAAAATGCGCAAAAGTATACAAGCGTTACCTCATAATTTACATTATTTTTTTTATAAAAATATGCACTATAAGATCGCACGCGTTTTCAAGAATCATGTGCAGTTAAAATCTTTGAAAAATCTCAAGCGTTCCTAAATAATGCGAAAAAACTTGCTCACGAAAACAGTTACCACTTCACCACAAGTTTGACAACATATTTCCTTCAATATGACTCCATCCATGGACAATACGCATTACCGTTGCCATTACAAAAGAACATAACTTTACAAAATGTGACTCAAAAACTGTAATAAAATATTGGTTGCGCAATGGTATGATATCGCTTATCATTTAACAATTAGTGAAATATCAATATTAGAAATCTTAGTTTGCAAGCAATACTCTTAGTCTGCGTAGATTTTTTTTATTGTAGGAATAATAATTGACCAGTAATTAGCAATGTCTTTTTTTTTTAATTAAATTAACCTCAAAGTGAGCAAGGTACTAAAAAGCACGGTGCTTTTACACTTTTTTTTTAATTTTTCAATCCGAATATTTGATTTATACGGTTGTGTTGTGTACCACAATATCGAGACTGACATTTGGTCATGCTGGATAAAGACAATATATTTTTCCAAAAAAATCCCCATTTAGTAACTTTCTATAAAAACAAGAAGGTTTCTTTGCAGGACATGAAATGTGGCAAAATTCTCAGCCTCACCCTAATGCGTATGAGGGCTAATAGTGGTAAAGTTGGAAGTCAAACTCATTGCAATTTTATGTTGTGTCTAGAACGGCGAGCCGTTGAGCGGAGGCGACGATTGGACCCCGCCTGGCTCCGCCCCGCCGGTGTTCGCGTCGCCGCCGGTGACGCCGCCCAACGACGGATTTAACGAAGAAAGTAAGCGCACCTCTCTAACACTACACTCTTCCAAATCTTCTGTGACGCACTTCATTGTACTGACGAGGATAACATTGGTTAACAGAACAATTAACACCAAACACTACCTTAGACTTTTGTTAATAATAATGCCATTGATCCTAATATAAATGGGCTACCGTTATCAATAAATATAATTCCACAACTTATTTCCTCTTTATGAAAAGCCAAAATTATCCTCGCTGTTTTTTATTTATGTTATTGCACAAGTCTTATCTATCTACTTCTGTTTTGTGATTTACTTTTGGGACTGTTCATACGACATAGTCTGCTGTAAGTTTAACCTCAGGTTTAAACACCGAAATGTTAAACTGGATGACATTATAAAATCAATCAAACTAGTGACTTTAATGCAGGGGGAAACCATCTGATATATTCAATTACACTTTCAAATGTGTGATATGGTTTCTGATAAGATTTGGAATTTATAAACTTAGAAGACTACCTACTTTTGCAACCACAAAACTTCAATTTTGAAAAGGATTCTAAATGTCTACTCTGCTATCCTAGTTAGATAAAATGTAAAAGGCAATGTGAAGACACTTCCTCTTATAACTTCTAACTACTCATTTAAATACACACAACTTACATGCTAATCACTTTCTATCATGAAGCAGCATAGAGCACCTAATCGGATTTAATAACAAGTAAAAATTTTATACAAACTCATATGAACAGTCTCATCATAGGCTTCGTCAGGTTAGTTAGCTTTTGGCTGATTGGGTATCGTTGTGGTTTTTATTCCCAATTGGCATGGTAACCGCATATCAGTGGAATGGCACTCTTCTATCGCTAGACTTGGTGCAAGAGTACGCCCATCTCACGTTGACGTTACTGCATGTACTTTGCACGATCCCTTTTAATAGCAACCTATCACGAAAAGGCAGGTGAAAATAATAGAATCCTCTAGAACATCTACTTTTAAATAAATGAAGAATAAGCTTGGATTAGTTACTCCATGTTTTGTCTCTGTTCCTCGAATGACAAATGGCATTTGAGTGATATGAACAAATCACTGACTAACTAGTCTAAGCTTATTCCTCGTTTATTATTCAGGGGGAGAGAGTATAGATCGATTTCAAGAAAATGATAACCATGAAGTAACGTTTTTTAAATTTCTTAAGATCTTGTTGTTTCTTAGAACTGGGGTCTACTCTCAGCGCGTTAAAGGCATTTCCTTTTAAACTCGTGTATTTATGATACGATAAAAATCATTCATCATCATCATTATGTAATTTGGCAATAGCTATTTAAATTACGTAATTCTGCTAATGGTATTAAGTAGATTTGTAATCTGATATTAATGTTCCTCTTTTTAATCGGATTATCCATCAGAGAGAATTTACATGCATATGGAGTAGGCCCCTCCAACGATGCGAAAGCTACTAAATTAATTTTGTTCTTTCATTCGTGTCTATTTATAAAACAAACTTTTGTTTTTGAAACGTTCGTCTGTTATCTATGATTTTATATAAAAGGTAAGCTACGAAAACGTGTGAATGCAATATTTAACGTATTTCTGTATTTATTTCTACGTGCCTTTATTGTTTTCTGTCTCCTCTGTTTTGTGAATGCCTCCCACAAAAAACTGTTATTTGAAAATGTGTTGTGTAATTTTGTTATTTGGATTGGTATCATCATTTCAAAGAGTTCATCATACGAATCATTATTGTCTTCTCTGTTTTTTGTCGATCATGTGTTGTTTTTTTTCCTTTGGGGATAGGTTATATCTCATTACGATATAGGTATAACGCCGGTGTTCAATCAGAATATTTTGGATTATGTAATGTTACATTTGAATCGTATAGTTTTTTTATATTGCAAAAGTTTATTGGCATATAAATTCATACTCGTTCTTCAGTCATTACTTTTTACAACATACTGAGTCTTCAAATATAAAATTCCAAGCGTCAAGGCAGACGCAAATATGAGGGGAATGACCGAGAAATGGACAAGACAATAGCCATTGCCGAGCAAAAATAATTAATGGCGACCGTTGCGCACGCAATTCACAGAGGATTGTAGGTAATGGAAACCAGAACCATAAATAAAATTAGTCTTGGGTATAAGGTACATAGTATGGAATTTTTCATCAGTTTGCTCGCAATGTTCACATTCAGTTTCCAATATCATTTTGTGATTATTACAATGTAACAGCATGAATACAAGATATTCTAGGGAACACTGAGCGAATAAAATTTAATCGGAACAGCAATATATCAGTGTTGGGCAAGGCCGTAGCCAGAACTATAAAAACCAGTTATCTTGAAAAAATTTGGAGAAGCGCTTAGTTTTTCAAGATTACTATTGCTTCAAAATTGGATCCCAGAAGTGATATTTGCGGAGCTGGCTACGGGCTGTCTCGGGTATAATGTCTATTGTCCGGGACGCCGCAGTGATCATGGGTGAAAACAACAACACAAAAAGCGCGGCGCCGCCCGCCGACCCGCCGCCGCCGCCTCCCACCGAAGCGGAAGCGGAACCAGAAACTGACTTCAGCTTCAATTTAGAGCTCACTAGGAACCAGCATGAACAGTACGGAACGCAATTCTCCATCGACGCGCCAATGGCACCCGCTGTCACCATAGTAGGTGAGTATGTTGACTACATGAAACATAACGTGTCGGATAGTTTTATAGGCAGAACAAAGTTTTGGAACACAAAAATAGTTCAAAGCTCGGTCCATATCAAAAGTTGAGTGGACATTTGGGAACTTAGGACTATTCGATATGTAGATATTGAGAACAAGATAATCTTTCAGTAGTCCGATGACTTGGAGTAGCTATTGATTTCTTTTTCTTCAATTTGGTGTTCTGGGAAGTTTTGGATTAAGGAAAAGGGGATACTTAGAATAATTAAGTATTAATGAAAACATACACTTGGTTGTTGAACTACATATTAGATAGTTTTCTGTACTGGTATACAGTACCTAGTTAATTGTTAATAAACAGTTTGAATAAGTAAGCGATTGCATCCAACATGTACATTTGTTTCATTATTTCTTTTTTAATCCAATCTGCATTCTTTTCCATGCATCAGTCGACGAGGTTCTCACCGAAAATTTAGAAGACGAGGTTTGATTCTTGTTTCGACATATTTCATTCAGTGTTGTTTCATTGTACAGTACATTTGCTTTGCTGTCGCTTCTTTGTATATAGTTGATTATATAAATATGCTTGTTGCTGTCGTTTGTTTTACTATGCTTCTATCGTATACTAGCGTCCTAGACGAAGCAGTGTTATTAAAGATGAGTCATGAATTTATTATGTTTCTTTTAAGGTGATAGAGGAAAATGAAAACTACAATAAATACTGTCACACTGTAGGTAATGTGCAACACTTTTAACCATTGGAACTGGAAACCCTCTTGATTTGTTTAGCATTAGTCTACACTTGACCATAAGCATGCCGCTTGTTGGTTCTATCATGCATGATAGAAACTTCCAGTAATCGAGTAATAAATCCCATTTAGACCCGAACTTATTTACAAATAACACTATTTACCTTTAATTTTTACCTAACTATAGTCCCATCTTAATCTTGGAGTGCTCCACTCCTATCTTGATCAGCGAACTCTTTAGTTTTCGAAGAAATGAAAATAATGTTTTTGTGGTCTAGGAGGAGGAGCAGCCGCCTGTGCCGGCACCGGCGCCAGCACCGAGCAAGCCTGTGCCACCGAAAGTTGAGCTGCCAGCGGACGACTGCGGGCTGGGCGTTGCGCAGATAGTTATCACCGCCGCCACGCCCATGATAGAGGAGCCGGAGCAGCCGTTCCCCCCACCGGAACCGGAGCCGGAGGCGAGAACGCGGACGGAGGAACCGGACCGCGCAGACGACAACGACGACGAGGAGTCTTCGCTCTCGGAGCAGACGGCGGTTTGCCTGCGCGACTCGGACGAGGGGCACGCGGACGTGGCACCGCACCCGGCCTCCAGTTCGACGGCTTCAGAGGGGGAGTCGACCGGAGCTTCAGTGGCCTCCGGCCCTCCCACGGCACCCCAATCCCCGCCTTCCGCGCCGCGCGCCGGCAGAGCCTCTATTCCGGACGAGTTGGAGCCCGCGCAGCTCGCGAGGCTCACCGATCTCAAAGAGTCGAACGCCTAAGCCTGAACTACGTTTTCCTCAGAAAACGTCGCGTCAGCTCGACACGAGGCAGACGATCACCCGGCTGTTCGTCTGCTCGTCTACCGATGACCGTTTCTCTGCTCAATGACTATCATTACGAACTTCTAATAAAATTACTTATCTACACATTTCATTCCTTTATTATTGTGAGTAAATTTAATTTTTTAATGGCACAGACACTTCGTTCGATGCATGTTATAGTTATTTGTATATGAATGTAAACCGAAGCATATTCTTATCTACTAGTGAATTACAGAAAGCCATTGATGACCTTTTAGAAAAATATTGTTAAAGGAATTTTGTTAGTAATATTGATGTTTAGGATTAATGATAACTTTTAATACTTTGTTACCTATTGTCTAGAGAAATATGTACCTATCTAACTGTCTATACCTAATAGTGAGTACTCACGTAGTATTAGTGATCGGTGCCTACTATCGTGTTAGTGTTTTAATACACCCTACAGAGGAGAAATCTCCCTATTAGGAGTCGGTGTGTACAGAACGGCGACGCGACTCCAAATAAAAGATCAATTATTGGACAATAGTATTTAAAAATTAAAAATCAAATATAACAAGGTGTTAACTACTTAGTTATAAAGGTCGCGTCGACTCGCACCGCGAACGGCCTAGCTTATGTCTACGATGTGAGAAACGGTCACAGACTCTGTAGAATTGTATATAACTAGGTTATATTTATAAATTATATTATACAATACTATATAGTAATTATTGACACATCTTGTACCTGCTGATTAGAGGTATGACAGAGACACTAGTCGCGATTTGTTGGCCGACGAAATCTGTTTTATGGCGCACTATTTTTTTTTATCGATATTTAAACTGTAGAGCCCAAACAGCAGAAATACTTATATAAAATTTTCTGTGGTTTACTTATGTCTTTAGTCATGCGAGTTAATACTGGTGAAAAAAATATGATCTGAAACTAAAAACTTAGAGGTGATAACAGCTGAGACACGTAAATCGACATCGATCGGATGCAAACATCGCTGACAGTGACAAACCAAATTCTTCGACTGAAAATCGTTTAACACGGAATAAAAACGTAAGGAAGTCCAATGAACATCATGTTATACTGCGCTGTGCTAAGCTCTATTAAGTCAACTCGCTTCTTCTGAATTATAACGAGGAAATAAACAATACCTAGGTATGGACGTACTACTCTCTGGTTTGTTTAACTATATAGTTTACCTATATAACTAGTTCCTATAGTGAGACGAGAATACGTTCGTGACAGGTCGTGCCTGTTCCTAAAGTTAGCTTCATAGAAAAAGTGTTAGCTTATTGAAGTGTAGGAAGTCACTATTGTCTAGTAAACAGAGGTACATTCCGAGAACAAACTTTATTCTCTTACGACCTGTCACGAACATTATTAAACATGAGCATAGCACAGTTCGATGCTATATGGTAACTTTTAACGGTTGAATAAAGACACCACACAACTTAGCATGGAAATAATTAAATTATTATATTTAAGTATAACGGGACTGAAGTGTGGATGAATTTCTGTTATTCCCTCTTCATACTTTCGTACTGGTCCGGTGAATGTCTACCGACAGATCAGAGTTAGAAGGAATTCGGGTGTTACAATTTTCTCTTAGATTATCGGTTTTTAGATATGTTATTTGATCGATTCTTTCTAACTAGGTATAAAATATTTTGCAAGGTTTTTCTTTATTATTTCTGCCGTGAAATAAGCAATACTTAATATGACGTACCTAAACACACGCAGCGATTTCTATTTGTTTTGGAGACTTATATATCGTTTAAATAATGTATTGAGATGACCATACTTACCTTTTACGAGCTCAAAATTGACGCACAAAGTACAATGAAAATTTAGTGATACTTAATGATTTTGAATTTTTCTGGCATAGCAAATCAGATAAAATATTGGATACACATCACACATAAAATGGGTAAACACTTTTAAATAAAACTAGTTTTTACGGGTTAATGCACGAAACTTTATTTATTTATTGACGTTTCGCAGCCTTTTCAGGTCTGCATCGTCAGAATAATGATTTTTTATTTAAAATTGTCGAGCTACCTTCGAAAGACTTATATTGAGCGTTCGGTTATTTCATTGGAAGAATTTAAAAAAAAAAAAAATTTTTTTTTTCATACATAGACAATAAAATTTTAAAAATCTTCCAATGAAATAACCGAACACTCAATATAAGTCTTTCGAAGGTAGCTCGACAATTTTAAATAAAAAATCATTATTCTGACGATGCAGACTTGAAAAGGCTGCGAAACGTCAATAAATAAATAAAGTTTCGTGCATTAACCCGTAAAAACTAGTTTTATTTAATGAGTGATGTGCGTGAAAACCTAAGAAACAAATAAACACTTTTAAGTTTATTTTATGTTAAATCTGTTTTGGTAAAGTGGTCTCCAAAAGAAATAAATTCTTTGCCCTAAACTTACTGCTATTGATTTTGACAACACATGTTGTTAGTCGCGAATAACTTGAGACAACAAGAATGCCTCTGTAATTTCAATATGAGCGGGACAGAAATGACGATTCGATCTGAAGCCAATACACATTGATTTATTATGCTAACTTATACATTGGACTGAATTAAAGCGTCCCATCACAATTTATTTGAATACTAATATTATGTTTTCATTTTCTGATACCTTTTTTTAGAGATAGGTAGGCAAATCACTCTACCCCACTTAAGTGGTGATAAATTCCAGACGCAAAGATAGCTGGTACAGCAGTTATAACCTGCTACACCAACCATCCTCACCTTGCCGGCCTGCAGAAATGCTTCTTCACGCCCCTCTTTAAAGGACCCCATATTGTAGGAAGGGGGGAAAACGTGCGCGGGCAAAGAATTCCACTTGCGAATAGTACGACAAAGAAATGAGTCATCTACTTATTTATTGATAACATCAATACAAAACTGTATCAAATTGTGCACATACAAGGTTGACTGTTACTATACTATATTATATTATATACTTACTTATATAGCATACAAATTGTTGTTCATAAAACATGCAAAGCGAAGTAATCATTATTTACATGTACAACCTAAGTATTGCTTTTCTATAGAAACGATATTGATGGTGGATTTATTAGATGACGTTAGCAAATTTGTTGGGATTATGCCGAATAAGTAACTATGTTACACGCTTACTTACCAATCTAATATTATGTAATAAATTTTCCACAAAACTAAATGGATCTATAATTTTTTAAATTCAGTATTTCCAGTGATAAGACTTAAAAATTGGGCACATTTTATGACACCACCGTGCATAAAAATCTGTATACCTACGGTATAGTTTTATATCTTTGCCCCAAACTTTCTGATGATATTCTTCGATAGTTAGTTGGGATAGTATTTATGGAGAAAACCTTACTGCACAGTTTTCAGCCAATTATCATAACTGCTCAGTTGGGCCAGTTGGCGTGGCTGACAGCCCGACTCGATAAAATGTTGTAAATTAAAAATTTTGTTGTCAATTTGTGTAATGAATTTATACAGAAATGCCACTAGTCTCGATAATGATGATAAGTCCCCAGTTCTTGATAATGTATTATTTAGCATAATCTCAGCAGTGTTGAATTTTTTAGACCTATAGATAAAATAGAAATGTTTATACAAATATAAAGGAATGTAAAAATTACGCGTATTGTTAGTTAACAGTTTCGTATACATGACAGCTTCTTTGTATTTTTTTTATTATTTTCTCATCATCATGAATTATTAGAATTCCGAGATGCAAATCCGTTGGTACACGAACTTAATAAAAAAGCTTGTTCAAACTTCAAAAGCATCCTGACACAAATCAACCAAAGCAAATATTTTTTAATATACCTACCTACCCAGCTAATATTGGTTATACTTAGTTTTGATAATTAAACGTTTTGATAGTTGTAAAATATAGAAAAAATAACCTATATAATATTATTAATTTATTTATATTGTTTATGATACAGTAAAATGTAAGATGGATTAAAAAAATAGTAACTTTAAACTGTTTATCTACGTAAAGACGTAGGTACACATTAATTTGCTTCCAAATCCCAAAATATAATAGATACCTATTATAATTAACAATTGTGAAACTTTTTTATTTATTATTTTAGCAAATGGGACTGGCGATTAGAAACTAAATCAAAATAATACTGTCAAATTAAGAAGCTTTTTAAAGACAAGTTCAATAAGGTCGAAAATTGAACACATTTAAAGTTAACTAACACCGCTTATTTTCCTGTGTACCCTTGTTGACGTGTTATCTTTTATTAGTAATAAAAACTTCAAAGGATGGTACGATATATATGTAGAGATACTATTATATTTTGGCTAGTTAGTGAGCAATGTAATTGAGGCAATTTTTCCATAAGGTTGTGTAAATTATTATGTTCTGTGAAAATGGTAATTGTATGAAGCTCATTGTATATGGAACTGTAGGTAAACAGTAAGAGGTAGTTTGCGATGACCACCATGGTCGCAGGTTTGATGTATGATTGCTTTCATGTTCCCCCAATGCCTTTTCAACCTGCAATAATAAACTTTTCAAAAACGCTCCTGTTTTATTTCACACTTATTTTTAGGTCACCAATAGCGCTTTTGATTCAAATGTACTTTCAAGCTTGATGAATTGAATATACCTACAGCATATATGGAGAGCCTGGGGTTTTGACCCCGGACTTTTGGTGCAGTGAATAAATTTTTGTGGTTGAAATGGAATTTAATTTTTTTTTCAGTAAATTGCATTGTTTACTAATTTTTCCCTGTGCTTTTAATTTTTTATTTATTTAAACGAAAAATAATATTGAATTATATAAATTCTAATAACGTATAATGCGATTCAACTAAGAACAGGACCGACTGGGCGCCATATTGTGATGTCATAGCTGTCAATTCAAACCAAATAGTTAGAGTGAGCAAACAAAAGTTTTTATTTAATAAAACTTATTTACTAAGATTAAGTGAGAAAAAGGATCAGATTTTTTAATAATATTTATTTACTAAGATTGAGAAAAATAAACCACCGATTTTTAATAATATTTATTTATTAATACTGTGAGAAAAAACATTAATCAGAATCTAGCTCTTCTATTCCGCTCATCTCTGCATTACCGCCGGAGTAGTTATGAATAATCATGCACTAGGTCACATACGAACATGCATCCTTTATGTAAAAGAATCAAACTTTCTTTTACATATTCGAGTTTCTGAACGCAACTTAGTGACATTTGGTTGACGATTTAGGTTATCAACCATTCATGACCAAAGCTCAATAAGTAAAAAAAAATATCAACCGATATTAATTATCAATATTTGTTACTGTTTGTTTACAAATGTTTGGAAAAAAAGAATAAAAAAATCTTGAATTAGCGGAGTGCTAAAAAAGGGTTCCAAGAGTTTTTTGCAAACCGTAATTTTCAAGCGACAATTGACAGAAAGAGGTCATTGGCTTTCCTATTCTTATTTGAATCGCATTATAATGTTTTTTCGTATTTATATGTTACTGTAAAAATCCGTATATTGGTCAATCTAAGGTTTAACCTGTAAATATTAGAATTTACCTAGATGAGTTAGGTAAACTGTTTCTGTGTGTAAAGAAGTAATCGAAAATAAATTAGTAATATTAATGATTAATAACTTAGTTAATTTCGCCTCCATAATTATCTCTTTCTATAAATCCTACGATTTGCTGGTAAAACCTTACTTTGGCCAATATACGGGCTTTTACACAGTAGCATATACGTTAAATTTTACCTACATTCAAAGTTACCTGAGCGTATTGAAGGCTGTAGGGGTTCAGAGTATGTAGCAAAAAAGAAATTGTAGGGCAGAAATTTCTGTCGAAATTTTGGTTGTAGACGGTTTATTGCATACACATAAATTTATTCCTATTTTTCCGTTTGGTAAATATATTAATCCTTTATTGGCGAAAAATAATAAAATTCTAATTCATGACGATGAAATTCATATTGATCTAACGCAGTCTAATTCGCATTATGCCTGTCCAATTTGAGAAGTAGTCGAATTTAAGCTTAGGCATCTTGCGTAAGACTTAAACTTCTTACGTTTTTATTCGGAAGTGAATCCTGCAATGTGTCAAGTCATATTTCAACAAGTTTTAATACCTAAGTAAAAGCCGGGCAAGATTGTCGGACTATGCTCAATGTAGGGTTACGTTGCTGTTATTATAAATTAAAACATTTATAACTGAAGAACCAATGACTACTTTTACCTTATTCATCTAGGCTTGAGAGATAGTGTAAGCAAAGAAAACAATCCTTTTAAAACTTTTTATCTTTTAATTTGATTTTAGAATAATAATGTTAAAATATAGACGCGTAGTAATAAACGACGAGTCTATATATACTACTCAGGTGTTATTGCAGTGGTTAAATATATAAATGCTTCTTATCATAAGCCAATTCAGTAAGGCCCGCACGTTTAAAAAAAAAGAGGACACAATTACGTAATTGGTAAACTTTTTTATGTATATTAATTAATAGCTATATATTTCATTTAGAATTTTTAAATTTCATTCACTGCATCTCAAGTTCGAGGTTTTCATGTTTTAACATCCCGAGCGCTCATTAATAAATTGGCGGAAAAAGCAAAAAAAAAAGAAAATAAAAAATATATAAACTCTTTTCTCCGTACTGTATTTCAAAGAGGGTTCCTTTTTTTCAAAGTACTTATTTGAAGCAACGAGTATATACTTTTTAACCATTTTACAATTTAAATAGATACATAGTTATAACATATGGAGGATAACTTAAAACTACCTTTTATACATTAAACATTTTATTCAAAAATATTAGCTATTAATAAGTTATTATTTTACAAACTTCGTTACAACCTTACTGACAAAATATTATTCTATACTCTAACCTCTTTATTAATAAATGAAGAATAAGGTTGGATTAGTTAAGTCTATGTTTTGTCTCTGTTCATTGAATTGTAAATGGCACTTGAGTGATAAAATATGAACAAATAAAGGCGAATAGTCCAGGCAACGAATGCTCAAAAAACAGGTATAGAGGGAAATGCTTGTAACACAATTTTTGACTTCGTAACTTTGTTAGGACTAGTTAGGAGGTAAACATATCAAAAGTCCCCGCCCGTAGCCCTTAAGCCGGGGGGAAGGGGGGGATTGAAGGTCCCATTTTTAGGTTTTTCGCATATATCTCGGAAACTATGCATCCTAGCGACATGAGACTTTGACAAAAGTGAAAGTTGATTAAATTTGCTACAAGTCTTATTCAGTCAAGTTTTTTGATATCTTGTATAGTTTTCGAGATATCCGCTCTTGAAAGTCTGTAATTATGGTAAAAAAAATTGCCACCACTTCCTGGGAATGCTGTTTTACTGCTCCCTCGGTGGGAGGAAGACAAGAGATATCAGGCTTGATGGTGGCCACTGATTTCAAGAATGACTTGTACCTGTAGGCGTTGAGGGAAATCTCTTTCGCTGGAGCTCCATACCACCTTAAGATGCAGGTTTCACCTGCCTTTTGTACTTGAGCGGTGGTTGAGAAAAGGTGTGAAAAGACCGCTGCTGCTTTCTGGATTTCTGGTGACTTGATAATGTCTCTGGTCTCTGAGAAGGAAGGAAATTTCTCAAACCAATCGGTGAGCTTGGCAATGTCAGCTCCATCCTTGTTTTGGCGGGCTTGTCCGAAATCTGCATGCTGCTCACTGGTGGAACCAACAACCCTACGGCCGGCATAGTTGAAAAGTTATCCGGTCAAATAGAGCAAAAATGTGAAGCAATTTCTTTTTCCATAATTACAGACTTTTAAGAGCGGATATCTCGAATACCATACAAGATATCAAAAAACTTGACTGAATAAGACTTGTAGCAAATTTAATCAGCTTTCACTTTTGTTAAGGTCTCATGTCGCTAAGATGCATAGTTTCCGAGATATATGCGAAAAACCTGAAAATGGGACCTTCAATCCCCCCCCCCCATTCCCCCCGGCTTAAGGGCTACGGGCGGGGACTTTTGATATGTTTACCTCCTAACTAGTACTAACAAAGTTACGAAGTCAAAAATTGTGTTCCAAGCATTTCCCTCTATACCTTTTCGTTGCCTGGACTAGTAAGTAACTAAGCGTTTATTAATAGAGGGGTAAGGGCGGTATTCTCTAACCATCGACCTCTATGCGTCATTACAGAAAATTCAAAATATTGTTCTACAGCTGCGATAAATAAAAATCACAGTAGTAAAGAAAAAAACTATTATCATTAAGTTAAAAATAGGCTACTACGCGCGAACTTTGTTCATATAAATACAATTCGGTACGCATTTGGGAACGACACATATTTTGATCGCGGGAACTACGGCCAAATTCGTATGTTCCTTGTATTAACGTCCAATAAAGGCGACGGCGACGTCTAAAGAGGTTAATGGATTCGAACAATTTGAGCTATAATACATAAGTTGCCTGGTAAAGTGCTATTCATACTAAGACTTTATGGTGGTTATGAAGTTAGCAGCTAGCGCAACTACGAGCAGGTTTCAGATCAGTAAATCACCACGTACACGTCCATTTTGTTTACAGCGCCGCGTCTTACGGTAACTTTAAATCCGCCATTATGTCGCAATCGCACTATAGGACGTTTTTTTTTAGGCGGCAGTGGGTGTGGTTTCTTATCGCCTTGTAGTTCTTCTGTATTTTGTCTTTAGTAATTACATGGCTTTATTTGTAATACAGTAATGGAGCACTGAAAAACATTAATGATACTGATTAAATCCGTACCTGCATCCAAATTACGCAGAAAATGCTTAAAGGCTTACAATGTCTCAGTTATAGTGTTATTATGCAGTTGTTATAATAGTTTTTACTAACCAAAATTACATAATATTATGGAACAGAAAGAACGATTTTTCAATAAATTGAGTATGTTGTTACTATGTTAGTGTACTTGTATGTGCAAATTTATTTATATATCATGGTATTTATTTGCTTAAATGTAGTGCATAAGTAACCCATAGGTTGTGGTCACGTCATTGTTCGCGAGTGAAAAGATTGAGCGCTTTACTAAGGGCCGATTCACACCTAGGTGCAGCGGCCAGCAGCGAGCTACACGGCGAACACTTTCAGTTAATTAATTGACGTTTTTGAGTGCGGACATTAATCGACAGAGGTAGAATTGTTTAGATCATATAACACAATTTGACAGCATTAAAAACTCAAATGAAAAATGAAGGAAGGAATACAAGAATTCAGAAAGACCAAACTAAATATTTCACAATATGTAAATTTTTGTACGTTAGCTTATTACAATTATACCTATTCTACATACAAATAATTTGGTTGTTATTATAGTTATGGCCATATGATTATGGCATTTTAGCTCTAGTTACAAACAAATTTGAGTTTGTTCTCTCTCTCTCGCATTCGTCAAAATAAAACCTTATTATTTTAGTTGATAGTTTTTGATTTTATTTTCTCAATTTGTTTAGAACGCCACAAAATTAACAAACATATTATGGCAGATGTCAATAAAAAAATGAAGCAATATTTCATGGTACAAATAATGGAGGGAGGGTGTAATGTTGCGGTTCAAGTGTTATAATAGGAATCGTGAAGTTAGCGTAAGTTTGCGTAAGCTAATAAATTTCCTTTAGTGCCGCGACTTGCGCTAATTTCACGGCCTTCGGTACCCATTAAGTTTAATTCGTACTTCGCATCAAAGTAGAACAACTACATATATGATGCCCTGTTAGGGCGTAGTAACATTCGTTACCCGAAAAAACGACATTGTATTATTATCACGCTTTTCCCAACATGACTTTATTTCTTAACAAAATGAGTAAAGCCCTATTATAATTAAATACTATATCAAATATATGTATTTAATTGAGATACATTTTATGTTTCTTTCTCATTGAATTGTAATAACTACATACATAGTGGACAGAAATGATAATTGCCATAAGTTACCCATCTCTTACTTATACTTACTAAGAGATGGATAACTAAAACTAACTACACACCTTTTATTTAGTGAAATCAACAACAAAAAAACTAAGCAACTGTGTAGCACTACTGACTCTTACTACTAAGTATATATTTGTCACACTGAATGCAATCTGTGTCATGCGAAATGGCCAAAGCGCAATGAACATTCATATCAACCACATGCAGTGATATCAATGAAAGGACATTGTTCAGCGTCCATACATAGTTAGCCTAAGAACCAACAATCATGAAATATTATTTTCTAGGTTCGAAATCGTAAGTAAATGACTGTAAAAACAAAGATTATTGACGGACACTTCTGAGAACTTAAATTATTAGGAAAACTAAAATGTTTTTGAGGTTATGTTTAATATTCAATGAAACATAGGTCAACCTATGAACTTAGGGTGTACTCAGTATAAAGTAAATTAATATTACAACAAATTCATTTTATTCGGTGCGATTTTAAAGAATATCTATTAGGAAAAACTTGGTTAGGTAGGAATCATGAATAAAATAAAAACTGTAGTTTCGCATCTTATTTATTGACTATTTTTCACGTAGTTGTATAATATTGTATATTGTATTTATTTGTATATCACATGTATATTGTGTAAACATGCAGCGTGAATGTGAATCGGGTGTTGTGGTCTTGAATAATTAAGCAGTATGATCCTCGCAGGATGTTGTGGCACAGGTTCACTAGCACTTGGTAATAAGGGTTCTTCTCTTTGGTAACATTGATGGCATATTAGATAGCCAAAATAGTTAAATTAAAGGAAAAACAATCGCAAATAAACACACACAACAGGTAATCCGCTTTGGAATGAACGAATGCCACAGATTACTACGAATGCAAACTGCCAGCACCACAACCACAGAGTAACGAGTTTTATGCTGGCCCTTCACTTGACAACAGTTTGTCCTTGTCATGCTTAATAAGGGTAGTTTTCCAATTACAGCACTAGAGCGAATTATATGAGCGGCATAATGCTTAACGTTGAATATTTCAACTACAGCAACGCTTCGCACAATCGAGCACTCTCAAAAGTACCTAATGTTTTCGTGTGATGCGTGCAATCTACCAACTCAGTGACAGAAAATTAACAAGTGTTTTTTCTTTAAGTTTTGTTGAAATTTTTTTAAAGCTTTCGTTTCATTGTAGTTCTTTTAAAATAATCAAAGTTAATTCAAACTGTGTTAAAAAAATAAATATAAGTATGGATGAAGGTACAAACATTGACTTAGCGCACTCTGCTGGTGCATTTGAAAACTAATTCACGTTCCAATTAAGCATCGGCATTGTGCGCCACTGAGTCGCATTATGCTCTGTAATTGGAAAACTAAGCCAAGTGAAGTACCGGCATTAGGAAGAAATCGGGATTTGTTTGCAGCGCTGTCATAGATTATACACATAAAATGGTATTTATTGTCTCAGATTATTTTTTAACTTTTTAATTTAGCTTACTTAACTGGAAGTGTCCGTCACAATCTAAATACTGATAATTATCGCAAAAAATATACTAAGAATTATCATAAATGCCAAATTGGTGTTGGTTCTAAGGCCAATTTTAACATTGTCCTTTAAATTAATTATTATCAAATTAATTATGTATAGACATCAATGGATTTATAATTTCGATTTAGGTAATGTTCAATGTTTGTATTTAACTATTCTTTAGAGCCATTCAATCTGTCTGTCTGCATACCCGCTAACTCCTCCTAAGCCGTGCAACGAATTTGTTACCGACAATTAAATAATATTTTCTTTGAAAGTTTTAATGTACCTAGTCAGGTCATAAGTATTGTCACACAGTAAAAACTTTACTTTTAGAATGCTGGCCACAAAAAAGTTTATTGAATTCGAATTGCTCATGAAAATAAAAATGTATACTTTTTAGAATTTTACTCATTTTTAAATATGGAGTGGACGCTTAACGAAGACCGTGTTGCAGTTATTGCGTTGTATCGTTGCGGTAACGCGCCAATTCAAATTTTGACATACTGAAAAATTTTAATATAACTAAAAGATTCGTTTATCGTACCATCAAACGATACAATGAAGACTCTAGTGTAGATGACAGGTCAAGAAGTGGTCGCCCTCGGTCTGTTAGGACTCCAGCAGTGATAAAAGCTGTGAAGGCGCAAATTCAAAGAAATCCCAAACGTAAGCAGAAACTGTTGGCCCTTCAGATGGGGTTAAACAGAACCACGGTGAAAAGGGTGTTAAATGAAGAATTAGGGCTTCGGGCATATCGAAGAAAAACAGGACATCGTTTGAATGCTCGTCTATTGGACCTGAGACTGAAGAGATGCCGCGCTTTGTTGAAGCGGTACGCGGGAAAAAAATATCGGGAAATTCTTTTTTCGGATGAAAAAATTTTTACCGTAGAAGAGAGCTACAACAAACAAAATGATAAGGTGTACGCACACAGTAGTGAAGAAGCGAGAAACCGTATTTCGCGTGTCCAACGAGGTCATTTTCCATCCTCGCTCATGGTATGGTTGGGAGTTTCTTATTGGGGCTTAACCGAGGTACATTTTTGTGAGAAAGGTGTAAAAACGAATGCAGTTGTGTATCAAAATACAGTCCTGACGAACCTTGTGGAACCTGTTTCTCATACCATGTTCAATAAAAGGCACTGGGTATTCCAACAAGATTCGGCACCAGCTCATAGAGCGAAGAGCACACAAGACTGAAAATCGACTGTGAAATCGACTTCATCCGGCACGAAGACTGGCCCTCCTCCAGTCCAGATTTGAGTCCGTTAGATTTCAAGATATGGCAACACTTGCAGGAAAAGGCGTGCTCAAAGCCTCATCCGAATTTGGAGTCACTCAAGACATCCTTGATTAACCAGCCGCCGATATTGACATGGACCTCGTTCGTGCTGCGATAGACGACTGGCCGCGCAGAATGAAGGCCTGTCAAAATCACGGAGGTCATTTTGAATAAACTTTATTGTCATAAGAATCTATCTATGTTTTGTTAAGTTCATTTTGGTATATAAATGGTTACATAATGAATAAACTTGTTTCAATTATTTTATATTAAACATGTGACAGAATTTATGACCTGACTGTGTATAATACAAGTTCTAGAACAAAAACTAGCCTACACGGAAGCTAGACGAGGGCGAGTCACTAGATATAAATAAAAGTTCGCGTGATGTTTTTATGCTAATAGACGGTAGGAAAATTAGCAATCTTCTCAGGTGGAGAGTAGTTAAGCAGTTACACATTACACTTTTAGAGCTTATTTTCTTTTAAGTTATAAACTTTCCTTATTTACACAAATGTGTGTGTTTGTAACACACGTACATACAAAGACTTGATGGTTTTCACATATCAGTGTTATCGTTTGCGCCATCTTTCTCTCTAGTATACCAAAGTGACTAATTGCTATGTAATTACAAAAAAATGCGATGTACCAATAAAACCAAATTGTCGAAGGAGACAGTCGACATTCAGTGTGACCTACAGGTACTCTAGAATCTTCCAGCCAACATACAACTTACCTATAGCTGTCCGCCTTGTATTGCTCGTAGATTTGTTCGAACATCACACGGCAGTTCATCTTCACTTTCATTTTGGAGCACAGTAGGAAAACACCCGACAGTTTCCTATGCAACGAATATATTTCCTCGGGCGGCGGGCACAGTCTGTGAGTCAGTATAGTCGGTACTAAAGCCTGTATACGACGCGTGGTCTTCTGAGTGCCAAAGTCGAATTCTCCGTCCCCACTGCTGGTGAAAACCTCCCCCATAATCATCACCGTGTCCACGTGGGTCTCTTCCATGATCTGATCGAAGATTAGGAAATATTTAAAAATTAAATCTTTAGAAAATTGCCATACTGAAAAAGAGTTAGGATGCGATTCAGTTGATTAGAGGGAGATGTGTGTTTATAATGTGTTCATGATAATCACATCCTGATGAACACATTGTTAACACACATCTTCCTCCAACATCAACCAACTCAATGTATCTATCCTTAGCTATTTTTCGGAGATATTTATTTGTTTATTTAAGGACAACCAACAAGAATATCTACACATAGTATAGTATAACAATAATGTATAAGTGCCATTTTAAGTGGTATCTTAATGATAGGCTGCCACGGCAATATTAACAGTGTGCAAACATAACACAATTATAAAAGTTTAATAAGAAATAAGTATGTATTATATTCACAAACATGTTATTGTTTCATTCACATTGAACATAACCAATACGACAGAACAAATTGTGCAGTAAGATATTATACTACAAAATTAAAAACATGTTCTTGAAGGCCGCTCTATAAGCATTATAACTCTCTTTGCCACCTACAAGCATGAGCAGTGAGCTTACTGAGATTAAGCACGTAATTCGGTCATTGTTTTGTAAGAAAAGGCAAATTTTATTTTTGTTGTTAAATTTGTTATATCGAATAATTATATATATTCGTTTTCTATTGTCTATAGTTTCAAAGCCACTAATAGTTTATAAACTTCATTATTTACATGTGGTTTCACTTTGTGTTTCTGTTTGTTTATTTAATTAAAATTCGGTCCGTTCGTACTGTCTCTTAAGCATGATGTGGCTACCTTCAATAGAATTTTGCATTTTGTATGTATTACTATAATGTTTAAAAATAAGACTTAATGTAACTTTCTCTGGTGGTCCTAATAAATAAATAAAGAACTTCATGGTGTAATGGTCACTCAGATAATAGAACATTTGAAGAATTTGGTTCGGTTCCAAGTATTTTTGCTGTATCGTCAACTTTAGTCAAACTTAAAAGTTGATTTGAAATAGTTTTTTAAGCTATTGGGAAATTGTAAGAAATTCAATGTTGTAACTGACAATATTAGAAAACGTATTTCTAATTCTGGTCGCTTACTAAAGCCAAAATATTATATTTGTAAAAATAACGCGAAAGCTACGTAAGTATTAAATTTTTAAATAAATAATAACCTTGGATCTACTTGTCTCACACGGACTGAAATGCACTACCCTATTACAGAACGGAAACAAATCATAATGATAAGTAGGTACTATACATTTTTATAAGTTGGGTTATTGTATATAACGCATAATGTTAGTTCAATGTGGCAAGTGAATTCAGCACTAACCTTTGATTCGTATCCGGTGAGAAACTTCATTTCGCGTGACATCATCAAAATGCCGTCGCGGTTGCCCTCCGACGCCGCTTTGATGATCTCAATGTATTGGTCCATGAATTCTTTGGAGTATTCACGAGTCGCTCCAAAATCGAGGAGAATTACCTGACGTAAGGCAAGAATTATTATTGATGTGTAACATCTTTCCTCTCGCTTTCCTGCAATTTGTGGGAGTGATTTCGTGAAATGGGACGCGACTACAGAAAGGCTCGCTCGTTTTTTTTCTTTTAAAAAGGTAAGTATTTTATCACATACATAAAGGATATCTTGAGATACTCTTGGCCCTACACTGTTTCTAGCCTACGTCAATGAGCTCTGCAACCTTAAACTTGATAATGGCAATATTCTGGCGATCGCGGACGATACTGCGCTAATTTTCAAAAATAGAACTTGGGCATTAGTGGAAAGGTCTGCTAAAAATGGACTAATAGTCCAGGCAACGAATGCTCAAAAACAGGTATAGAGGGAAATGCTTGGAACACAATTTTTGACTTCGTAACTTTGTTAGGACTAGTTAGGAGGTGAACATATCAAAAGTCCCCGCCCGTAGCCCTTGAGCCAGGAGGAATGGGGGGGGGGGGATTGAAGGTCCCATTTTTAGGTTTTTCGCATATATCTCGGAAACTATGCATCTTAGCGACAAGAGACCTTGACAAAAGTGAAAGCTGATTAAATTTGCTACAAGTCCTATTTAGTCAAGTTTTTTGATATCTTGTATAGTTTTCGACATATCCGCTCTTGAAAGTCTGTAATTATGAAAAAAAAAATCCACCACTTCCTGGGAATGCTGTTTTACTGCTCCCTCGGTGGGAGGAAGACAAGAGATATCAGGCCTGATGGTGGCCACTGATTTCAAGAATGACTTGTACCTGTAGGCATTGTGGGAAATCTCTTTCGCTGGAGCTCCATACCACCTTAAGATGCAGGTTTCACCTGCCTTTTGTACTTGAGCGGTGGGGGAGAAAGGGTGTGAAAAGACCGCTGCTGCTTTCTGGATTTCTGGTGACTTGATAATGTCTCTGGTCTCTGAGAAGGAAGGAAATTTTTCAAACCAATCGGTGAGCTTGGCAATGTCAGCTCCATCCTTGTTTTGGCGGGCTTGTCCGAAATCTGCATGCTGCTCACTGGTGGAACCAACAACCCTACGGCCGGCATTGTTGAAGAGTTATCCGGTCAAATAGAGCAAAAATGTGAAGCAATTTTTTTTCCATAATTACAGACTTAAGAGCGGATATCTCGAAAACTATACAAGATATCAAAAAAAATGACTGAATAAGACTTGTAGTAAATTTAATCAGCTTTCACTTTTGTCAAGGTCTCTTGTAGCTAAGATGCATAGTTTCCGAGATATATGCGAAAAACCTAAAAATGGGAACTTCAATCCCCCCCTTCCCCCCGGCTTAAGGGCTACGGGCGGGGACTTTTGATATGTTTACCTCCTAACTAGTCCTAACAAAGTTACGAAGTCAAAAATTGTGTTCTAAGCGAAATGCTTCCCTTGCTTTGCCTCTCGTTACCTTTTCGTTATACAAAAAACAAAATATGTATGTTTTAGAATCTCTGAGTCTACTAAGCCACCATTCCACTTCACTATTAAAGCCCATTCATCTTTGTGTGACCTAGAAATTAACTGCAATTGTGAACTCCTAACGCAAACAGGTGACCACAAATATCTAGGAGTAATAGTTGACAAGAACCTAAATTGGCACCCCCAAGTAATAGCGATAAGCAAAAGGATAAGGAAACTGCTTCCCATTTTTAGGAGCCTCAGAGATGCCGCCGACCACAAACTAATTCGTAAAATTTATTTTGCCCTCTGCCAATCTCTTCTGACATACTGTGTTACGGTGTGGGGTGGAGCAGCTACCTCTTTTCTCCTGGAATTAGAAAGGGCTCAGAGAGCTGTGATAAAATTATGTTCTGTAAGCCTAGAAGATATCCAATCAAACAGCTCTATGAGGAAACTGGGCTTCTCACTGTTCGACAGTTGTTTATATACAACTCGGTTCTCCGCTACCATAAAACCCTGGATCCTACGCAGCTGCCCATAAATAAAAGACGCATTCGTACTCCTGTCCTAATTTGTAGAACAGTGTTTGCTAGACGACAAGTACACTTCATAAGTCCATTTTTATATAGATACTAGCTGACCCAGCGAACTTCGTACCGCCCTAAAAAAATAGGGGTTGTCCAGCGGACAAAATTGTGAATCTAAACCATTCTCAGATCCCCTTGAACACACACAAAAAAATTCATCAAAATCGGTCCAGTCGTTTAAGAGAAGTTCAGTGACATACACACTCACAGAAGAATCACACTAATATTATCACACTAATCACACTAATATTATAAAGGCGAAAGTTTGTGAGTGTGTATGTTTGTTACTTCTTCACGTCTAAACGGCTGGAGCGATTTTAATAAAATTTGGTATGAAGTTAGCTGACACCCAGGATTAACACATAGGCTACCTTTTACTGCAGGAAAATATTTTATTCCCATGGGAAAATCGATGAAAATGAATTCGCGTTTCCCTGTTAAACAACGGGTAACACCGCGGGGCACAGCTAGTTATATATATAAAGATTACAATGATTTAAACAGCATTATTAAACTAAATAGAAATAATCTTAAAACTGCACTTCAAAAAAGTTTAAAAACGCTAGATTATAAAATTACAGAAATGATATTCAAAATAATAAGTTAAACATTATAAGATGCACACACACACACACACACACACAAACACACACACACACACACACCCGCATACACATACACACAGTCACACACACAAACACACATAACAAACTCCTTTGGCTATTCCATTGATTAATAACTTAAGATTATCTGGATTAATAAATTGTTTACTAAATGGTACACAACTTTATGAATAGGGTGGAGGGTTGATTACCTGAGACACAGGATTCATCCTAGTTCAGGTGTCAACCCACCATAATCTGATCAATACGTACCTTTTATTTTTGGTAAAAAAAATGCATGCTTTTTATATCATTGTTTTTATGTAGCCATTAATACCAACATTGTGAACATTGTGATTAATAAAGGTTATTATTATTATTATATTTTCAAGGTAAATGTTTTGTCCACTTCGTTGTAAAATAAAGATGACAATAATGATACTGAATTGTTCTTATCCCAAAAATAAGCAGCTGTATCAAATCAATCGAGTTTAAGAAATTGAATAATACGACATAAAGCGGGATGACTCACATAAACATAGAGAAAAACTGAATATTTCCTGTAAAACTATATGAAACTGTATCGAAAGACAAAGCGACTGTGCGAGCAAATGTCTTTCAAGTTATTGGCCGCACCTTCGCCTTCATTTCTAGAGTTGCTCGTTTCGTGAGAATGTCGCTCAGTCCTTTATCAATTTCTATAATGTCATTGAACTGGTAGTCTTTAAGCTCATAGTTGCGCTTGAATTAAGTATGCTAACTTCAAAACCAATGATAACCATGTTCTATTTTTATTTATAAGCATTCAACAGATGTTTACATTTAAAGAAAATCTAATATATAAAATTCTCGTGTCGCGGTGTTTGTGGTTAAACTCCTCCGAAACGGCTCGACCGATTTTCGTGAAATTTTATATGCATATTCAGTAGGTCTGAGAATCGGATGTAATCTATTTTTCATCCCCCTAAATTTTAAGGGTAATCCACCGCTAATTTTTTATTTTTAATTATAGGTATATTTTTTTTTAAATTTCTTTATGATACAGCATTAGTAAATACATATAACCCTGAATTTTCAACCCTTTAAAATGAACCCCTATTTTACCATCGCGATTTTTATTTTTAATAATTTCTTTTTTTTCTCAATTCTATTTGATCTTCGGCCTTCACCGGTCGTTAACCGATCAACGATCAATCGATCAGTTATCCCCGCTAGATGTCTACCTGGGTCACCTCTAATCCAGCAAACATCACGGAGTAGGGATGAGAAGGAAGCTGGTCTCCTGTCTTCCTCAATATACAGTTTTCGGCCATTTTTTTTTGATTTCATTTGTGTATCGATCGTAGCAGTGACTTATACGTATTATTTTAATTTTTCTGTGCATCTATTACGTTAATTTTACTCTCATTGTGAATTTATTATTAATTTCCAGTGCAATAATCATTTTTTCACATTTTATTAATAATTGATAAAAGTCACAATGTTAGTTACCATTCTCCTCCGAAACGGCCTGACCGATTTTTGGAACGAAAGTTCCTTACGGCAGGCTTGGAGGGGATAGGGATTTTGCTGCGCGACCGAACTGAAAAAAATGTGATAGTAAAACCGTAAGAAAAAATGCGTGGAATAAAACCGTTAAATGAGACGTGCGCAGGCGCGACGAAGTTCTTTACGGCAGGCTTGGAGGGGATAGGGATTTTGCTGCGCGACCGAACTGAAAAAAATGTGATAGTAAAACCGTAAGAAAAAATGCGTGGAATAAAACCATTAAATGAGACGTGCGCATAGGGGGTGGTAGAGCGACGAGGGTGCATCACTGAAATATTGTGATATTACACCAACACTGAATATGTGTGAAGTTATAGGGGGAGGTAGAGCGACGAGGGTGCATCGCTGAAATATTGTGATATTACACCAACACTGAATATGTGTGAAGTTATAGGGGGTGGTAGAGCGACGAGGGTGCATCACTGAAATATTGTGATATTACACCAACACTGAATATGTGTGAAGTTATAGGGGGTGGTTTTTTTTTTTTTTTTTTTTTTTGAATACAATTACTCCATAGGCGTATGCCCATGCCATTATTTAGTTTGACTTTTTTTCAGTTTTGTTACATTTGTTTGTGCACTCAGTGCGGCCTTTTACATTTAATCATGCAAACATGCGGCATGCTCACTTATGTCTACTTAACTAATATAAATTTGGACATATTGTCCATCCCCTTTTTAATGAATATTCTATTATATGTATAGGCTTTTTTTTTTTTTTTCATTTTTTTTTTTTCACTATAGGGGGTGGTAGAGCGACGAGGGTGCATCTCTGAAATATTGTGATACTACACCAACACTGAATATGTGTGAAGTTATAGGGGGTGGTAGAGCGACGAGGGTGCATCACTGAAATATTGTGATATTACACCAACACTGAATATGTGTGAAGTTATAGGGGGTGGTAGAGCGACGAGGGTGCATCACTGAAATATTGTGATATTACACCAACACTGAATATGTGTGAAGTTATAGGGGGTGGTAGAGCGACGAGGGTGCATCACTGAAATATTGTGATATTACACCAACACTGAATATGTGTGAAGTTATAGGGGGTGGTAGAGCGACGAGGGTGCATCACTGAAATATTGTGATATTACACCAACACTGAATATGTGTGAAGTTATAGGGGGTGGTAGAGCGACGAGGGTGCATCACTGAAATATTGTGATACTACACCAACACTGAATATGTGTGAAGTTATAGGGGGTGGTAGAGCGACGAGGGTGCATCACTGAAATATTGTGATACTACAAAAAACACTGAATATGTGTGAAGTTATAGGGGGTGGTAGAGCGACGAGGGTGCATCACTGAAATATTGTGATATTACACCAACACTGAATATGTGTGAAGTTATAGGGGGTGGTAGAGCGACGAGGGTGCATCACTGAAATATTGTGATACTACAAAAAACACTGAATATGTGTGAAGTTATAGGGGGTGGTAGAGCGACGAGGGTGCATCACTGAAATATTGTGATATTACACCAACACTGAATATGTGTGAAGTTATAGGGGGTGGTAGAGCGACGAGGGTGCATCACTGAAATATTGTTATATTACACCAACAGTTAATATGTGTGAAGTTATAGGGGGTGGTAGAGCGACGAGGGTGCATCACTGAAATATTGTGATATTACACCAACACTGAATATGTGTGAAGTTATACGGGGTGGTAGAGCGACGAGGGTGCATCACTGAAATATTGTGATATTACACCAACAGTGAATATGTGTGAAGTTATAGGGGGTGGTAGAGCGACGAGGGTGCATCACTGAAATATTGTGATATTACACCAACACTGGATATTTGTGAAATTATATCAAGCTGTGGACCAGTAACGCCTGTGAGACATGATTATGATTACAAGGTGAGTACTTATCAGGAGGTCGCAGAGCGACGGGGGTGCATCACTGGATTATTGTGACATTGTAGTTTATTCTAAACTGTGGGCCAGTCCTGCCTAGCATCCTTTACGAACGCTAGCGGGACATGATAATAAGGTGCGTATGTAGGGGGTGGCACAGCTACGAGGGTGCAGCACTGGAATATTGTGACATTACACGAAATCTGGATATTTGTGACGTTATACCGAGCTGTGGACCAGGAACGCCTATCATCTGCTGTAAACTTAAGCTAGACATGATAACAAGGTCAGTATTTAACAGGGGGTGACAGAGCGACGGGGGTGCATTACTGGATTATTGTGAAATTGTAGTTTATTATAATCTGTGGGCCAGTCCTGTCTAGCAATCTTTACGAACACTAGCTGACCGAACTGAAAAAAATGTGAAAATGTGATAGTAAAACCGTAAGAAAAAATCCGTGGAAAAAAGCGCGTGGAATAAAACCGTTAAATGAGACGTGCGCAGGCGCGACGAAGTTCCTTACGGCAGGCTTGGAGGGGATAGGGATTTTGCTGCGCGACCGAACTGAAAAAAATGTGATAGTAAAACCGTAAGAAAAAATCCGTGGAAAAAAATGCGTGGAATAAAACCGTTAAATGAGACGTGCGCAGGCGCGACAGTCGCATACACAAGCGAGTTTGCAATTTGTGTCGATTCTACATTAGCCGAAGGAACTTCGTTCCTACCTGGTGTCCCACGACACCACATCATTTTTTTTTATGAAATTTTATATGCATATTCCGTGGGTCTGAGAATCGGCTACTATCTATTTTTCATATCCTTACGTGATAATGGTTGTCCACCTGTAACGTAGTGTTCTGAAACCTGCTTTTGCGCCTTCGCGCCAAAATTTAAACTTTTGGGTATTGTAACGTAGTGTTCTCATATGGGTTAGGAGGAATGTTATTTTGGATATTTTTTTTTTTATAATGTGGTATTAAAAAATACATACAACCCTAAATTTTCTCTTCTACCACCTGCCCCTATTTTTAAGGCGGTACGAAGTTCGCTGGGTCAGCTAGTATTACTATAAAAATGGCACGCGGAGCAGGTAGCAGACGGGTCGCGAACCCAAACCCTCCGCTATCTGAGCGGATGCACTGACCATTATGCTACCGCGGCCCTAATGGCCGAGTCGAATTTCTTTTAGTAGTTCTTAGGTTGCAAGGCAGCGCCATCTCTTCGCATTGTAGGTTTACCTACAGTAGTAGTAGTTAGGTTGGTGGTATTAAACATTTTTAAAGAAGAAATAGATATTGTACTTATATTTTTAATTAGCCTAGCCCCAAAGTAAGCACTGTATGGCTTGTGTTATGGGATACTAGGGTAACGGGTAGAATACATATACTAACTGATACTTAGGTAAAAAAGAACGTATTCGTTTTACAAATATTTGTCCCACCGGGATTTTAACTCGGAACCTCTGAGTAGGCGACACCTTGAAACCCGGTGTTAATACTACTCGTGCAACGGAGGTTGTTAAAAGTTTGACAAACTGAAAGCTCAGAATTGCGCTCGTTGCTAACTTTACAAACGCCATAAAGTTGGAATCGCATTATAAGTACCTGTTTGGTGGTCGGGTTGTAAAAGAAATTGGCCCAGTTCGGATCGGTCTGCATACAGCGTAAAACAAACATCTCTCTAAGGCAGAGTCGCATGATTTTAGATGCGATATCGACGCGAGTTTCGTACGGAGCGTCGAACAATTTATCGAGAGGCATGCCGTCTATCAACTCTGTGGTGATCACTTCGGAGGCGCAGAGGTCGTCTGCGAACAATATTTTCATTTTACCACTCAGTTATTAAAAAGCGATGAAAAGAAAATTTAAAATACCTAGATCAAAAGTTTATAAATAAAAACTCGTTTTATGCGTCTTAGAAAGTATGCAAACGCATCGTTGTACCATAGTGTTCCTGTGGCCACATTTTGGCTCCGTCATCAGATTTTGGAATAAGGGCCTTGCCTTGCCTTGCCTGTGTCGTCTTACGACACAAACAAACCGAAACTCGATGAGGCCACAGAATTCCCCGAGCCACCTCCCAACTCCACCATAAGTTCAGTTCTATTATATAATAATATTGGCATTGTCATCAGATTTACAAAGGAACTGGGGAACGACCAACAAACAAGAAATGGTTTTTCTGACTACTCCAAGTCCATAGTGCTTACTGCATAAAGCTTCGCTAGCACCATATTGGAGCGGAGCGTGATAATAATTTTTTTAATCTAAAAAGTTTGTCCTATAAAATTATTGTTTAAATACTGAATTCCCTGAAGAAATAGATGAGGTAATAAACTATATCACCAACCTAATACAGATTGCTTGCTGGGAAAACACATGTGAAGTAAAGAGAAAACCTGTAACCATTAACTTATCCATCGAAATCAAGCAAAAATTTGCTGTGAAAAGCAGACTGCGAAGAGTCTGGAACCAATCAAGACACACAAGCGCCAAAACAGCATTGAATAAAGCTAATAACAGCAACAGCTGATACAAAGTACGAAAAATGCTACGATACAATGCTAACTTGAGAATCTGACTGCTACAGCTGCAACAAATTATTCACTCTAGGAGGTGACCAGATCGCTAAGTAGACCACAGGAATCCAAATACCCCTTAAGAATATCCACGGGTTGGGCAAGGGCAGGGAAACAGAAAGTCGATGCATTTGCCAAACACCTAACTGTAGCGTTTAAGCCAAACCAAAGTTGCAACGATGAAGATGAGGATGAAATTGACGGAATCATAAGTAAAGATCTACAACTTCCTCTACCCGGAAACCAGTCACCATTTAGGAACTTACGATTGTCATAAATAATCTAGAATCGAAGAAAGCTCCAAGTTTTGAAAATAAGTCTTGGCACAATTACTATCGTGGAAAGCTCTGGTGTACAATACCGCCCTCTTTAATGGTATATTAAGAGTACAACATCTCCCTAGACTGTAGAAAGTGTCTCCAATCATTATGGTCCATAAGGCTGGCAAACCAACTGATGAAGTAGCATCCTATACACCAATAAGTCTTGCTGTCACCTTATCAAAAGTTTTTTACAGGATTCTACTACGAAGAATAAACCCGATACTTTTGGAAATCAGGCTATACCTAACCACCACCACTTTTGGTTTAAGACAAAATCAATTAACTGTTGAACCGGTGCATAGAGTTTGTGAAGAAATAAGAAGCGCTCTAGTAAGTACAGTAAGTGGAGATGTGCTGCGGCTTTTTTCGACATCCAGCAAGCCCTCGGCAAAGTATGGCACATACCACTTTGTAAAATCTAAGAATATCTGCCACACAGCTATTACCTACTAATGAAATCATACCGGTCATAACCGTTTGAGGACACTATGAGTAAGGGCTCTTTCAATTTATGCGTTTCTTGACGGCCTGCTGCGGTGCCGAAGCGGTGCGTTTGTCGTACAGCGTACGGACGATCCTTTCTTTTTCATACAAAACGCGCGGTGCGGCAACAGTGCGGCTCCAGTAACGCGAACGCTCGCGCTGTACGACAAACACCGCTTCGGCACCGCAACAGGCCGTCAAGAAACGCATAAATTGAAAGAGCCCTTAAGGTGTAACAGACATTAAGTCATTGCAGCTGAATAGAAGCTTCGCTCCGCTCCAATTAAGATAATGCAACTCACCTATAACTTCAGGCACGAAATACTCGGGGTACGGTGCTAATAAGTTTTTGAATTTCCTGGTACACTCGGCTTCGCGGACGTAGTCTACCTCCCAGGCGAGCTCCTTCTTAGCAACCTCAACTATATTATCTATGAACATGCCTTTGGGAAACATGTTCCATACCTGTATTAGAAAAGAATCTTTTTTATTAGGTACACTTGTATTACGACAGTAAGAAAATATATAAAGCACATTTAATAGAATATTAAATAATTCTGTTAATTCAATCGTTTTCTGGCTCAGTAGCTACACGCATGCATGTGTACTGAGATTTTTGTCATTTTTTTTACTTATTAGTTACCGTCTCAAAATTAATCTTAAAAATATATATAGTAAATAACATTTTATTAATCTTGTACGATACTACCTTCGTTTGCAAGTCAGGCTCGCACTTGGTTTTTATTTTTTTATTTGATTTAAGCAAGATATTATGATCCAAACAAGACCCACTCTGGTGTGTAGTGAAAGTATGAGTAGGAAGCAAACCATGGAAGTAGCATAGGTTAAGATAGTCTTGAATAGCTGAGTCAGTACACATATTTATTTTGCGGAGTAATCTACTATATAAAAATAAGTCGGGTTTTCCTTCCTGACGCTATAACTCCAGAACGCACGAACCGAATTCCACGGTTTTGCATTCGTTGGAAAGGTCTCGGGCTCCGTGAGGTTTATAGCAAAGAAAATTCAGGAAAAATTTAAAAAAAATCTTCTTTTAATCACCAAACGAAATGTTACATAAAACGAAGCCATCTGGTGGCGAAACAGAGTTCGCCGGGTTTGCTAGTGTTGATATAAATATCTCCAACCAATACTACCTTATTGAAGGATGACAAATTATTTAGTGTTTCTCGAAAGAGGCAATAAAGTTGTTTAGATTTCTAATGGCAGTATATTCCTAGTATTGCAAAGTCTGTCCCAATTTTAATTAGTAATCTGCTACAGTCTTGTATATTAGGTTCTGCTACAGTGACTCTAAATAAATAAATTACTTCTATACATATTATAGCCAAAATAGAGGAACATTGTATTGTTTTCCTAGCCTACTTTCCGTTAAAACTATCACATCACATTCTTTGTAAAGCTTGTAGAAAAACACCAAGGCTGTCAAAATTCTTTAAAAATAGGGGAAACCACCCAATCGTTGGCACTCGTCCTATTATTGGCACTTTTGAGTTTAATTCGAAAAAAACAAGGAGACAATAGATTATTCAAGGTAGTTACATATTAAAAAGAAAAACCTAGTATGGTTACGAAATTTGAAAATTGGCAGCATTATTCCTATAATCTATTGTTTCCTGGTTTTTTCGAACTAAACTCAAAAGTGCCATTAATAGGAAGAGTGCCAATGATTGGGTAGTTTCGCAGAATATACTTTGTATATTCTGCGTTAGTATACTTAAGGAATAACTGTAACGGCATAGATATAGTTTGCACTCTTCAACTTCACATCTTCTCGATTCTAGTTAACAGGATGCATCAATTTCATCAATTATAGTAATCATTATTATAAACTATGAATTTAATAGAGAAAGGTGAAGGGAAGTTGGTCAATGGAAAAAATATATATTAGAGGCGATCTTAGGCGTCCTTATAATCAATAGAATTGATGTAGGTGTTTATATGGAAAAGAGAGATAAGGCGTCAATAGGGTATTTGACAAGTTTTAGAAAACGATCTCACGTTATTGACTAATGTTTATGGAGTCTGTAAAAAGTGGATATTCTTTTTTTTTATTATTCGGTAATAGGTAAGCGCTTGACCATAATTCGCCTGATGGAAAGCATTCTGTTGTGTATTTCAGTAAAAATAACCAAATCAAAAACTTCATTTTCAAGTTACCGCGAAAACGTTTTTCTGGACAATATGGCGTCTTACTAGTATGTGACGTCACACGACTGTTATTAAAACGTCAAACGATACAATGTAATGTCACTTTAACTGGAAGTTTACTTGCGTGTGACGTCATTTTAGGCTCCGCCAATCCCAAGCGTTTTGGGTCACGTGACAATAGATAAGAAAACTATTATATTTTTCGTGGGTTTTTAGTAAAATTATGAATATTTTTTTTGTAAAATAGTAAAAACCCCTGCCAATGTGCATTCTAAACACAGATGCTAACAATTGGCACTTTATTTTTAATACTGTCAAATACCCTATTCCGGACACAAAAAAGGGGGAACGTGCAAGCAAATTCAATGATACCTTTAGTACTCCAACTAGGTTGTCAATATCACTATTGATGCCTTTAGCAACACCAGGATATTGAACTTTCATAGCCACCTCCTGACCACTATGCAACATGGCCAAATGCACCTGACCTGTAGATAAAAGTAATACATGTCGTGAAAACGAGAAACATCTTAGTAAAAAGATTGATAAAACACAGCTAAAAATCTACAGGATTATAATTATATTTCGTTTGTGTTATAATGATAATTTTATTATCTATCTATCTTTATATTTTATTTTATATAAGTTAAATAATGATGGCATATAAACATAAATTGCCCATTCGAAGGAGCAGCAAATTGTAAGCAGACTCCAGTTGCAAAGGTAACCGATACCACATAACTTTAAGAAAAATAATTGCTCCAGCCATCCTCATTTTGCGAGCCTGATCTCTAGCTACACCTAGAAACCTAACTCACCAACAGGCACGGAAAAACACCAAAAAATAGTGTTATTAAGGTTGAAGATAATATTATACTCATGTAATCACTTATCTTTAACAGAAGTATTTTTTAAGGATATAAGCACTCACCAATTGATGCGGCAGCAAATGGCTTTTCTTCAAAGTGCTGAACTCTTGATCTCCAATCAGGGCCTAACTGCATGGACATTACTTTCTCCACCTAATGTAATACACATAATGAAAATAAACAATATGATAATAGACATAATATGTGGTTTTAATTTTAGATAGAAAAAGTAAGGTCTTATAACAGGCAAAATAAGGCAGAGAGTTTTTTGGAAAGCAACGTACATGCATCCCAATAATGTGTATTTAATTTAAAATTAATGTTGTTTATGTTATTATTCATTAATCTAAATCTATACTTATAATAAATCTGTAGAGATGTCAATTCTGTACATGAATTGTTATTTTTAAAATAACTATCAGGGGGTGATTAGTCATCGATACTGATGCCAAAAATGCAATCAGTAAAATTTTTGTCTGTCTGTCTGTGTGTATGTTCCTTATAGAAACAAAAACTACTCGACGGATTTTAACGAAACTTGGTACAATTATTCTTCATACTCCTGGGCAGGTTATAGTATACTTTTCATCACGCTACAATCAATAGGAGCAGAGTAGTGAAGGAAAATGTTGGGAAAACGGGAGAAGTTACTCCATTTTTTAAGCTTCAGTCGCGTGTGCAGCCTTAATGGTTAAAGTTACATAGAAATCATGTATGACGGAAATATTCTACATAAAATTGTCTAAAAAATATCCTGCAACAGCATATGTTTATCTTTTAGGTTGACTCACAATAACACGTGTAATTATATAAATAAAGTCATTGTTTATAACACAAGCCTGAGAACAAAAACTATAGTTTACACTACAGCTCTACACCGAAGCGAAGCGAAGGCCGGCCACTAGTCAAAAAATAAAACTTTAAAAACATGTAGTTTGTTTCATGTTTTTAAAGTAATATTTTTGCACATGAATAATCTACAATATTAATAATAATGCAATTTTGGCACATCAGAAAAGATCATTGGATTTGTATTGAGATGAACTTCTTAGTAATTGATCAAATTCTGACATTGTTTAGGATTACGTGCCAGTATTGCGAGGTTGTCTGCAAAGGCTAAGATGGTCTCTGTGTTTTTATTGCTTATTTTAAACCGATTACTCACTTACCTGCCATGTGGGCATAAAGTCAGCAGATTGTCGCACTCGTTGGAAAATACGCTGCAGCTCTGGTGATATCATGGTGTCATCTTGTATGCTAAGCAATTGACCTAACTTCAATGCAGCACCTATTGGCATTTCAAGTAAGTTTCCTTTTAAACATGCATATGATAATGACATTGGTTACATTTAATGAACAATAGGTAATACAAAATAAGTATTATGAGAAATCAATGTTCAGTCATACACTGCAAAATTTTATCCTTTGCTTATGTGTGTTGTAAAATATAAATTGAATGCTTGATTTGCCATAAACACTTTCAATTAATATTTACACAGTTTCTCTTTCAAAGCCTTCAATCAACAATTCTATAGATAACGGGTTGCATACAAAATCAAAGCTTAAAAATTTTAAAAATCAAAAAACCCGACAGCTTAATTATACTTCAATAATAATGGGTCCCGACTGTTAAAGTAGCTTTGTTCCTTATTAACAGAATTATAGACTACTGGAATTGTTTTTTTCTTTTCAGTTTTTATTTGAAGAATAATTAAGCAGTCGGGTTGTTTGATTTTTTAAATTTACCTTTTTTATTTCACACTTTTTAGTTGGTTAGTATTTTAAGACGGTATGTATATCTTTAGTCTTGTTACTTTAGTAAGGGAATTAATATCGCGGGAATTATTAAGTACCTTGCGGTGGTCTAAAAGATTGATTTATTAATCATGTACGACTTTACCATCGGGGTCAAGGCTACAGGTGGGCCTCAATTTTCGCAAAAATGTGTGAAGTTAAATCAAGTCGTTACATAAATATCTAATGTATGTAAATATTATAGTAAACTAGCACTTATTCAAAAAGTCATCTTTTGTTTATGTTCTTTTTAGTAGTTTAGCAGTAAATATAAAATTCATTTAATTTTATTCGTCGACTATTTAAAATTGGCAGTGGCAGCATAGTCATGTCAACGTCCGGCTCTAAGATTGTGATATACACAAATGCAGTGTCATATCCTAGTCTCATAATTTGATATACCTAAACAATTCACAGAAACTCAATATGTAGATGCCAGAAGTTAACTTCAAATGTTATTAATCACCCTATATACAATATCAATCAATGACGTTTATGTCGCATATTGCAAATAGTGCAATCATGGCAATTATTTTCCAAAAAATTTTTTTGTATAAAAAAAAATACCGAATAACGTACCGCTGTTAAGCACAAATACTAAGTAACTTTTACAAATATAATCAAATAAACACATTACTTACTTTATTTTTAAATCTTTTTCATCAATTAAGAGCCCTTTCACATTTTTTGCAATAAATCGCAATTTCTGAGCGCCTCGTTTGCCCCCTTAGAAGAGATTTTGACTACTTCCAATAGAAGTAATCAGTAGATTTATTCTTCCTTTTGAAAATTAATGTAGAATATTTTCAAATACTATTTCCATTTTTTTGTACTGATCGTTCTACCGCAGCTACTTTACGGAAAAAACGATAATATGCACAACTAAAAACGCCTTAATCTCACAATAATGTTCAATAAATTAGATCAAATTAATTACTACGACACCAGAAATATGTTTTTGTTGCAACATAATGTATTAGAATCTTGATTTTCCATCTCATTAATTATTAAAAAAACATCTAACCTCCGTGAGTTTCCCCAAAAAATAACGCAGGTTTACCTCGTATTTTGATATTGAATTAAATAGAATTACTATCAAAAACTGTCATAAAACAAATCTACAATCATTGAACTACTGAAATATGTATATAATTTTATAATAATTTCATTAATTATTATTTTATAAGACTCTGAACATCACCCGTAAAATGCAATATATAGTAGTGCAAATCAAGACGCCGTTCAGTACGGCGCCAGCGCCTTTGGATGTCGGACCTATGTCGCTTTGTACCGCACGCGTTCCGAGCGATGCTACGAGTGCATTCATCGTAAAACTGGCTGGATATACTACGACCGCAAAAGTTTAATCGTTGACTGTATGTAAGTATCCACAACCGTATTAAATTTTATTATCATAAGTACCTACCTAGTTATTAATTATCGTTGCTTCAACTAATATTTTTGTTATAAGCTTTTACAATGGGGCGTAAAATTCCTGCTTACCATTGTGTCAAAAAAAACGAAAGAATGATGCAGCCATAAAGAAAGCTTGTGAAGCAAGGTGAATATGCTTATAACATTTCGTTTTTTGTTTTTGTGGTTTCAATGGGTGTTTTAATTGTATAAAAATGGTGATTTGTCCGGACTTTTCAAGTATCATTGGTATAAAATTGTAATCAGTCAAGGTACTGTACTCTAATGGCCAACGATTTTAACTTACTGACTTAATGGGTATGTCAATCTATCCTTATGTCTATAAAAAAAGCTAGAGTGCGGTAAAATTTTGCATTTCGATCAAGTATAACAAGTATAAGCTCGTGGGCCGCCAAAGTACATATTGGCCCAACATAATAATATATTTAGAATAGAAATCCACAGTTCTATGTATTTTAGATGGAAACAAAATTTTAATGGTAACCCCGAAAATATTGAAACTATACCGACCATAAGTTCAATGGATTCGATTGCAACAGAAACTGTAAGTTTTTCATGTTGTTATTGGAAGTAGACAATGAAAAGAGAAATTGAAATTATAATAATAAATTTTAAAAAAAAGAGGAGCAAAACAGCACATTTAAGACCACCGGACTCGTCGCGTCGTTCCGCCTCGCAGTTATCAGCAACAGACACAGTACCGAGTACCCTCCGGCTGACACCTGCAGTTGCGTCGAGCGATAGTGACGAGTACTTCTCTCCTCCGGCGACGCCACCACCAGTTCGTCGAAGAAGAGGCCGGCCACCGAAGGGTTTGGGGCTTGTAGGGCAATCGGCTCCGGCCAGGGCCCCCGCTCCCGGTGGAGTGCACCGCATGCGATGGACAACTTCCATAAACGAAAGTGTCATGCGTGCATATTTTGAGGCAACAGAGACAGGAACCAATCTTACTGCGTACCGTGCTCGGATGCTTTCTCTGTTTCAGGTTCTTGAACCAACTGTCAACGTTTCGGCTCAACGATTATCGGATCAGGTGCGGGCCATTCAACGGGGTCACTTATTGGATGACTCTACACTTGATCGGCTCCGTACAGAGGTACAAAGTAATCACATCATTTCTATTGCATCACAGGCGGCAAATCTATCCCCGTCCATAACAACATTACAAGCTGACGTTGCTGATGGTGATGATAGAGATGATGTGATTACTACTGTAAGTTCCCAACACAATGATGTATTGAGGAGTACTTTCGAGGATGTAGTTCGGGAATTTCGATCCACTCCGTTGCGTCTTAGACCTCGGCTTCCGCGTTTCCCTATGCACAAAAAAAATAGGGCGCTGATGTGTGCTTTAGATTCGCTATTATCAAATTATATTGATAGTAGCGAAGACCTCGCTGATACACATTCGATCTTGTACTGTGCGGCTGTTACGGCTTGTCGTGTGGCGCATGTCAAATTCCCAAATACTGACATAGCGACACGCCCTAGACAGGCTGTACCAGCCTGGCAGTGCAGGATTGAGAGCCGTATTAGCGAAGCTAGGGTACTCATCGGTAAGCTCAGCTGTTTCAGGGAGGGCAACACCCGCCCTAGGGTCATGCGTTTTGTGAGACGTGCGTTCTCGGGAACTGGTATTAGTCCCGAGAATTATAGTTCACGTGTCACAGAGCGCATTGACTTTCTGAAACAGAAAATTTGTGCATGGGCTAATCGCATTCGGAGGTATAAGTTACGAGTGAGTCGTTTTACTCAGAACCGCATGTTCGAAAGAGACCAACGTTGTGTTTATCGATCCTGGGAGCGATCGAATCAGAGTGATATTGATATGCATCGACCGGATGATGAGGCCATGATTTCTTTCTGGCGCAACATCTGGTCCGTGCCTGTCACTCATTCTGATGGCGCGTGGATGAGGGATGTTGAGCGATCGTGCGAGCTTTTACCTGAAATGAACGATGTAACCATTGACTACGAAGACGTAGCTTGTGCAGTTCGTTCGTTACCCAACTGGAAATCGCCAGGCCCGGACGGACTGCACAACTTCTGGTTTAAATGGTTATCAAGCTCGCACGTTTGCTTAGCATCTCAATTCCAGCGTGCTTTATCATCTCGGTCGCTTCCGGAATTTATGACAACAGGCATAACCCATCTGCTCTATAAATCTGGAAGTACTACGGACCCAAAAAATTATAGACCAATCACCTGTCTACCAACAATTTATAAAATTCTTACTTCTATTTTGAGATCTAAGATTAGTAAACATATTGATCAAAATTCTATCATGTTCACCTCTCAAAATGGATGTAGGAATGGGGCCCGTGGTACTAAGGAGCTACTCCTCATTGACATGGCTATTAATCAACAGGTCCGCCGTAACCGAAAGACTCTGTCGACTTCCTGGATAGATTACAAGAAAGCGTATGATTCCGTACCGCATTCATGGCTCATGAGGGTGCTGGAGCTGTATAAAATAAATGCAACTCTACGCGCTTTCTTGATGTCATGTATGCGACAGTGAAGAACGGTCTTATTCTATCCAGAATCTCGACGGACTCTGGGTAACGGCGATCCTATAAAAATAGAGCGAGGCATCTTCCAGGGCGACGGTCTGAGTCCATTGTGGTTTTGCCTGGCCTTGAACCCTCTGAGTACACTACTCGAGAGTTCAGGTTTAGGCTATCGTTTACGGAGAAATGGTCAAGTAATATCACACCTGCTTTACATGGATGACTTGAAACTTTTTGCCCACAGCAGTTCTCATTTGACAGCCTTACTGAAGGTTACTGAAGATTTCAGTAATGCTATCAGAATGGAATTTGGTGTGGACAAATGTGCAATCATGCATGTAAAGCGTGGTCAGGTAGTGGAATCCGCGGGTATACAACTCTCGGATTCAGTTCACCTTAGATCTCTCTCCGTAAACGAAACCTATAAATATTTAGGTATGTCACAGGGATTAGGCATCAACGATGCTGACATGAAACAGTCATTACGTGAGCGTTTCTTGGGGCGCCTGTCAAAAGTTCTTAAAAGTCTTTTGTCGGGCGGAAACAAGGT